ATATATATATATATATATATATATATATATAGACATATATATTAATCGTAGAACTCACAATTCCTAATGTCTGAAATAAAGACGGCTAAACCTCGCATGCCATCGCCTCTAACAGCCGGCATCTTGGCTCCTTTTGCTTGAACCACCTGCAAAGTAAGATAAAACACCAATTGTATATCCTTTTTTCAACCAAATACCTGATGCTGAATGTCATGTGTCGATCGACGTTTCTCATTCACTTTGACTTTGCATGCACATGAGAAAAATAAATGAGAAGCAAGGAACAAGAATAGGCGAGGAAATTTTCTATCAGTTCTATCACCAATTGATGCGAAAGCGATCGATCGAATAAAACGTTGTCTAGCAAGTAATGCCTTCGATGCGTTCGAGACGAAAGAAAGATAAAGGAAAAAGAATTAGTGAGGAAGAAAATCAAACTCATATAACTGTCGTGCACGCTCGAATATGTACACTGTGCCGAGGATCCGAAAAAAAATCGGTCGAAAATAATTTTGACAGTGGTATCGTTCTCTTTACAATCGCACGTACTCAATAAAAACGATTGGAGGACAATGGGAGATATTCGTAAATCGTCGTGGGTATCGTATAAGAGAAGGAGGAGGAAAAGGAGGAGGAGAAGGGGGAAGAGGAGGAGGAATGAAGAAATTGTGTCGCGAATAAAGTACGAGGAGGAGGAGAAAGAGGAGGAGGAAAAAGTAAAATCATCGAGGGACGTATCGATCGAGGGACGAACAAAGTAATATCTCAAAGGGCAAGAGAAATCGTAAGCGAGCTGTCTTTTACTTTGCGCGGGGTCTGGGTCGCCGTACGGGAAAAAGGTGGTCCGTCTTTGATCAATCGCCGATAAGATTCGAAGGAACGATCTGACAGGTTCGAAAGAACAGTTCGATCAAATAATACGTACCGATCTGGTTTAGGGATAGCGTTCAAGCGCGGCTCGGTCGCGAAGTGCACGGTGAGCGTGAAACTATTCGCGAGTCGGTGCCAAAGATTTCGTGGCTGTCGCCATTTGCAATCGTTCACTAGTTGACGGGTAGACAGTAAAGAGCAACGCGCATGCGCTCTTGGACAGGCGCGAAAAAAGTTCCATCTTGAAATCGTTCAGGCGCGCTAATCATCTCGTTGGGTTGGTAATCGATCGGTCGATAAGAGGACGTTGTCCACACGACGTTGCTCGATAGATTCGTCTATGGCACGTACATGGGATACACCACGTTTCTGATGTCAAGTTTCATATCAATAACTTCGATTAAAATACATCGACGAAAAATATAAGAGAAATAGAGTGACCTAGCAACGATATACATGAAACTTTATTAATTATCTATAGAATCGTTTTATTTATTTATTTATTTATTTATTTATTTATTTATTTATTTATTTATTTTGTACAGATTTTAAAAAGTAACGATGAAATTAAATTTTCTATGAACGAGTCGATTCAAACTAGGAGATAAACTCGTACATAAGACTCGTTTACGTTTAATTCCAAAGATATCCCCATTCAATTGGCTTTATCCTGTTGTATCTTTTGCAACAAAAGTTCTATTCTCTCCTTAATAACGGGCTGACCCTTTTTAGTCTTCTTCGACAGTTTTTTATAAGCCTGCATTTTTTTCTCTTTGTACTTTCGTAAAGCTTCCTCCCTTTCCGCTATTATCCTAAGCCTTTCTTCCTTCTTCCTTTTCTTATCCTCCTTCTTTCGCTCGTACTCCTTTCTTATTACGTCGAAGTAATTCGGACTTTTCTTTGGCTTGCTGATATAATTAAAATGCACAAATAATAAAATGTTTCTCGAAAGGACAAGTTTATAAATTACTACGATCCTACCTCGCATCGTGTCCCGACAATGTTTCGACTTTCGTTTCGGTTTCCTTTCGCCGGCCATGTTGATCCTTGAGAAATTCTTCATAATAATCACGTAAAACCGCTAGTTTCATTCGCTCTTGCCGTTGTTCGACTATAAGAAATATAATACACCGATAGCATCAGAACCTAACCTATAAATAATTTACAATCGCTAATCGCTACGACATAACCCTTCTTATCTTTCTTTCTTACCCTTATATTTATTGCTATACTTCTTTAATCTATGCTTCTTCTTGTCAAATACCTTCTTCTCAACGTTTTTCAACGTTTTCGAATCATTATTGAACGCAGCCTTATTTTCGATTTGGTTCTCGCGTCGCTTCATAATTGCGTCCAAGTTAAAAACATATGTATTATTTTAATGACATTTAGCAGTTCCGTTGAAAGTACTACGAACCGACGCCAGAGGGATATGCCAGAGTAGCGCCGCTTCGTGCGTTCTTATTCGTGATTCGTCATAAGCAGATTCGCCTATTACCATGGTTATTTTCTCGACGAATCTTCGGAATAAGCTCTTATTTGGCGTAATTGCTCCTTCTCGCGTCCTTTGCGTCGTCGAGCTTAACGTTTCTCGACCCTTTGCGTTCGAAGGTTATTATTAACCTTAAAAGGTTAGGTTAGATTATTATTATTCACTTTATCTCTTAATTCGTTTCGTTCATCGTCGCTCGCTCGCTCGTTCGTTCATTTTGTTATTTAAAGGGACGACGAAGAGGAGTAGGAGTATTTTAAGTGGCAGTATTTTTATATCACGTACATACATACATACATACATACATACATACATACATACATACATACATACATACATACATACATACATACATACATACATACATACATACATACATACATACATACATACATACATACATACATACATACATACATACATACATACATACATACATACATACATACATACATACATACATACATACATACATACATACATACATACATACATACATACATACATACATACATACATACATACATACATACATACACACACACACACACACACACACATCATACATAGATACATACATACACATATATGTACACGCGCTTTCGATCGTTGTATTAAAACGAAGAGAGGTTAAGGTACTTGCGGCTACAACGAAGCGTTCTTGGCAACGATCCACGTTTTGCATTAGCACGCGCGCATCAACGTAGATAACTCGTATGTATCGAGGCGATAGTTTATAGAGAGAAATTATAAAACAATGTCGGTTACGTAACGCGCCTATTTATCACGACACGTTGATTGAAAGATCGATTTCTTTATTTGATCGTTAATTCGCCAACGTAGACGGCATCATCGCCATTGGATTGTGTGTATATATATACATATATATATATATATATATAAAGACTCGCAAGGATAATACGATTCTAATCATTGTTTTTTATTATTTATTTAAAAAGAATGCGTTTAGATAATAAGCGATTCGGAAGTTATAGAAACGTTAAAGATTTCATTAGACTTTATGCGCAAGCTTTGGTATGTCGAAGAAAACAACGAAAGCAACGTCGTGGAAGCGGTCGAGAGTTATTATTAGCTGACAAAATCCGACACAGCCGTAGGTATCCGAGGCCAGAGGCGTCCGAAGGAATTCTTTCGGCGTCGAAAGACACCTCTCCTCTGTCTGTATATGTATGCGTTTGCCGTTCTTCAACGATTCAATGTCGAGGATACGAGGAGGAAAATAGGACGGTTTCTTGAATCTTATCTTTCTCGAATCAAGATCTCGGTCGCGAGGTTCATCGGGACGATAAACGCTCGACGGATTGTAACAGCCAATAAAAAAGATAAATTCGGATGAGTTTTCGAATACGAATGTTGTCTTACGTTATTTCTTCTTCTTCTTCTTCTTCTTCTTCATCATAATTAGATAGGATAATTCGTATTATGCGTAACGAATTCATGCTCTGCCCATATTAGGGTAGTTCTATCGATCAGCGGAACCCCCACGTAGATGACGTCATGCGAGTCAAGTTCCCCCACGCAGAGAAAAAAGAAAAACGTTCGAAGAGATTTCGCCTGTGTGTTAAAAGAGAGCGAGGAAAAGAGAGAAGAAAACCGGTTCGCAAGTCTCTCGTTTCGAGCAGAGCACTTCGTCGGATCGCAAGCTTCGAAGATTCTGACATTGACACACTTTTTGTCATCGGCCTTCGGTCTTTTACTCGGGTATACGACACGCATTCATATTTTTTTCCCCGAATATTCAGCGAGCCGATCTAAGCGAATATCGTTATAACGAAAGGACATCATCAGCCGGTATAGAAAAACTTTTCGATGCATCGTACCGTTTATTCTAAATAGCCAATTATTAGTGTGAAAATCGAATCATCCCCGATTAACTCATCGTTAACTCTCGTTAACTCATTCACGTCCGACGGGCGAGCTGCCAAGGAATTTGCACGAAGGAAAAGCGATGTAAAAATATTTCACGATGTGTTTCGAAAGAAATATTTTTACTCGAATGAATCGGTTCTTTGGTGAATAAGCCTCCCTTTAATATCTTACACGACCGTTACGATCGAACATGTTTCTTTCGTACCCCAACATTTTCTAGAACATCATTTATAAGTTGCACCCACAATCTTATTTCCTTATCGAAGGGTACTTCAATAAGGAAGCGATTGTATATTAGCATTAGTCATCGCTTCTACCCCGGAATTCAATGAGTGTTTCATCCAATTGTGCTACGCCTACGAAAGCCTACCTACGTTCAGCGTATTTGTCCATAAGTGCATTCATCAGAAATTAAAGCCGATTCCTATAAATGAAAACTAATAAGAATACAATATTTCATATACATTATATACGTTACTTGTATTTTCCCGAAAATATATTTAAGAACGTCTATGGTAAGAATAGAAAATTAAAATGATCATTTGCGAAGAGCCGTAATAATATCATTAGTTTCGAAGAAAAACTTTGGAATTATAAGTTCAAACATCGAGCGCGTCCGTGCTTCGCGGGATATCGTTGATTCGCGTCGGACCGCGTGTCAGGAGCGACGATAACCGAGGGTGGGCGAGCATGGCCGAGCATGGCCGAACGTTCCAATGGTACGTCGCGTAACTATTTAAGGAGGCGGGAGCGAGGCGCGCTCATTCCTAGACGAAACGTCGGAGAGTACGTTTCGAAAGGTTTTAACATTTGAGTAATCGTAGCTCGCGATTCGCAATCAAAGTTTGTACACGTGTGGTCGATTACGAAGCAGCATCTTCGAAGTGGATCAGTGAGAGGAACGGCGAAAGAGAAAGAAAGGAAGCGAGACGGAACATCAGGGAAAGGCGAAAGCAGAGAGAGAGAGAGAGAGAGAATACAAGTTTGTGTACGTAGAGGGGAAAAAACATGGCCGATAGTGGTATCAAGCGCAACATTCCCATCAAGTTGGGCGACTTTAGCGTCATCGACACCGAATTTTCCAACATAAGGGAACGTTTCGACGCCGAAATGAGGAAGATGGAGGACGAGATGTCGCGATTCCGCAGCGAGCTCATGAATCGCGAGAGCAATTTCTTTAAGAGTACCACCAGGTAAGTTTTTTATCGTACTATACTTTTCCATTCTTTTGATATACGCACTATATTCTATATCGTTCGTTCGCTTTAATATATTTTTTAATAAACCTTACTGTCTCTCTCTCTCTCTCTCTCTCTCTCTCTCTCTCTCTCTCTCTCTCTCTCTCTCTCTCTCTCTCTCTCTCTCTCTCTCTCTCTCTCTCTCTCTCCCTCTCTGACGGTCAAATAAGGAAAGTCGGCGGACAAAGAACTCTTGGAGGAACAGTAATCGCTGGCCTAGACAGATATTAATTAACTTTAATTTATGCTCTTGCTCGTTGCCACGACTTTGCTCTCGGTCATTATATCGCGTAGATCGCGATGCTGTGAGAGAGCACGAAAGAGGAAAGAGAGCCGGTCAAGGTATTTGGATTGCCAAGTTTCCCTCAAGATTTGTGCAAACGATAGTTCTTCTTTTATCGCATACGACTTGCGAAACATACGCATAATAATTCGCGATAGCAGTTCGTACACGTTGATCGTTAACGTGATCGTTAAGGAAGAATAGTACTAAATATTCACCTTATTAGGACGTCTATTAGATATTAGCATAACGTATAGGTATTACCATCGTACCGGTAATGTCCCGTTAAATTTTCAACGTGATTGGTCAAAATCGAGTCGAGATCTTTACGCATTTCGGTTTTAGACTTTTATGCGTTTCGATATAACGTTCGGAGCTTACCATCTTTCTCTTTCTTCGCGAAGCTTACATACGTCGTACGTACCAGCTATTTTTAGAGCTTCCGTCACTGCATTCGAAGACGCAACCCGAACGCAGCAACCCGTAGGTTTTTCGTCTCTCTCTCGAATCTCGCGTCTACGTGCGAATGTGGGGAGGGGAATTGTGTGTGAGTGTGTGTGTGTGTGTGTATGTGTGTGTGTGTGTGTGTTAATGCATACACACGTACGTGTTCTCTGTACATGCAGAGAGAAACAGAGAGAGAGAGCAAGCCGAGGCAAACGTGGAGGGAAAGAAGAAGCGAATAGGAGACGCGTAACAGATGCCCTCTTCTACCTTAAGGCGGATCGATATGCGTCTATGGACAACGCGGCGACGCGAGCCAGTAACTTTCGGACGATACAATTGCGTATCGTAAAGAGTTTGTTCGCGCTTTATCGCCCAATCAGCTAATAGATGATTTAGTAGCTATCGAGTGAGATAAAAAAAGTTCAAATTAATTTTACTCGTCATCGGCTACAGTTTCGGTTTACCTTTTTAACGTTTTATCACCGAGATTCCTTGAAAGCACGCAGTACCCAAGGGCACTGTGTGTAATATTATACTTTTACAGAGGCACGCGAAGGACGCCTTTCGGCTTGTTGTTGTTGTTGTTTTTTTCTTTTCTTTTTTGTTTTTCTTTTTTCGTTTTTTCCATCAAACATCGAAAGAAAATAATATAAAAGTTGTTAAGCTCACAAGGAGGATGGAACGACGAATTTGTCACCTTTCGCGGGTCCCAGGCGTACTTGAAGAGCACTTCCGTCGTCGAATGCATCGTCCTCGCGAGACGGCTCCGATACTGAAGCCGTTTCTTGCTTCTACGAGCTTCCTCGCGTGTCCTTGACACCTGCACGTTGCACGCTCGTTACAAATATTCCCCCACTATCTTTTCGTACGATCGACCATATAGTAGCTATGCTCTTACGATGGGCCGCGTATTGCGCGCAATAGTTTTAACGTGACATTTGAATTTTACGTACGTGTTTGCTCGTGACGCTTTAAAGTCATTTGAGAATTTTTTTTTTCTTTTCTTTTGTTTCTTTTTTTCCTTTTTTTTTCACCGAGGGGATCGAGCAGTCTTGCCAATTATGATATTCGCCCAACGCGACGAGGATCTTTATCCTCCAAGGCATAAAACCGTCATCAAACTGCGGTACGTTATGACATTCTTTTAGAACGATTACAAAATATGCTGGAACGAGTGCATCGGGTCATGCTACAGAGAATTTTATTTCTACGAGTATTCTCCCGAACGAAATTGTCGCACCGCAAATGGACAGAGCTTTAGAAATCGATACCGCAAGCTTAATAACGTTGTTCGTTTCTTTTCTTTTTTCTTCTCTCTCTCTCTCTCTTTCTCTCTCTCTCTCTCTCTCTTTCTCTCTCTTTTTTGATCACCTACGAAAATGTTCGACCTACGAAAATTTCCTCAGCGTAAATGGAGTTGCGATCTTAAAGCATTCGTGCAAGTTCGTTAAAGTTTGCCAAAGCACTAACAACGTGTTCCGAATATGCTTCCTTTACGCTTGAGCTTTCATTGACGAGCCGTCGGAAGTTAACCGGCTTTTAACAATTACGCCACTCGAGCAACCATGCGCGATGCGTGCTTAAGAAAGATTAGCTCGCACGAACGGACTCTTCTCCGTGTTCCTGGCTATCCGTAATATATCTTAACGCGTTCCCTCTTCGTTTTCCTCAATGAGAGAATAATGCCTTCTCTTACTTAACGTTCTACCTAACGTGTGTATGTGTGTATATATATATATATATATATATATATATATATATATATATATATGTACGAGAGATTATTTCAGAATTTTCCGCTGAAAGGTCGTCGACCTTTTCGTAGAAGAGGCGTAACTTCCAGTTATCGACGTGTAGAGTTCATATACGAGCACCTATTTCTTCCTGCTTGTTAACGCGACCTAAAGGCAAGCAGGGTGGAGTTCGTCACGTCCTACGCGCGTTGTTCGAAGCTTTGCACGGCTGTATTTTAAAATGTATTTTAAGCCTCGAGAATACGTGCCTTCCTCTATCGAAAGAAAGATCGAGCGAGTTTCCTCCGTCAGTACGGTATTGCTCGATCCTAAGCAAACTTAATCGCTAATAATATCGATCAATATCGAAATGCGTCCTCGACGTCGTCGATTCTCCTATCGTATTTTGAAAAAGATATCATCTTTGACGATATATCGTTTAATTTGATATCATCGAAGACGTTCGTGAGAGGTTGCAATAACGAGAGAAAGAGCGATAACCCGCAATAACTTGGCTAACTGACAGTGAAACTCGACATAAAACAAAGATAAATTGAAAACTAACGCAGCAACAACGTTAACAGAGAAATTGAAACATCGAAGAAAAACGAAACTGGCTATTAATTAATATCTCCCTTTCTCCCTTTTACCCCATCATTTATATTCCTTTGGGCACTCTTCCTTTCTCCTATTCTCTCTTCCTCCTTCTCTCTCTTTCTTTCTTTCTTTCTTTCTTTCTCCATCCGTCTGAACTCTCTGCATTGGCACGTTGGTGACTAACAACAACACGAAGTCGGCATCACACGAGCAGCAGCGAGCACAAAACGTCGACGACCTCGAAGATGGACGGTTGGGACAAGGTCGACCCTGCGGCATCGTCGGCACGATCGGCGTTCGATAACTTTAAAAGGTGACGTTGCTTGAACGGCAACAACGACGAATCAACCGAAACAGAAAACAAACACAGCACCGAGATAGACCCACCCACGTGCATACTACGTGTATTACCCAGCCAACGAAAAAAAAAGAAAAAAAAGAAAAAAAAAAAAAAAAAAAAAAGAAAAGAAAACCAATGTTGTCCCTGTTAGAAAGTGCACCACCAATCAATCAGCCATTTTGTGTCACACACACTCAGACGTAGACGCCTTCCTTCCTTCCTACGTTCCGATTTCTCGTTTATCCAAAGCTTGCTCGAAAACATCAAGTAGAAAGTAGCTAAACCCGACGTACTTAATAGATTGTCTTTTTAGTTTCTAAATAACAAATAAGCGTGCTAACTAGTAAACTTTTTTAATAGCATGTTTCCAATTGCGTTTCATTACAGTAGTTATGTGTTCACGATCAATTTAGAAATTCACAGCTCGTGAGCTTCACGCTCTAAGAAAAGAAAAAAAAATTATTTTCCTTAGAATGTATGTGTTATACAATCGTTCTATATCATATCCGTTTATATACATACGTTTATCATAGCACGTCGTCGTCGAATCGCACACCGATCGTTCATCTTCATCTTTGTGTTTTTCTCTCTCTCTCTCTCTCTCTCTCTCTCTCTCTCTCTCTCTCTCTCTCTCTCTCTTTTTTTCTCCTTTTTGTTATGTACGTTGCATCATCGTCGCAAGTTACGAAAATTCATTCGTTCGACGCGTGTGAGCGGAGTCGTCGAGTTGGTTGTTCAACTATATTAAACTATATTTAACTATTATATATAAAACTAAGCGAGCCGAATCGTTGAAAAATAATAAACGATATCTGTAATAAAGTTTTTTTTCTTACTCGCTAATCACGACAATTGTCTCGTAATAGAATCAGTTGGACAGCTGACTCTGATTCAGCCTTTCGAGTAGTCTTTTCGTTGTTCATCTTCTTTTTCTTAAAATGAGATTGGCAGAACGATAAGATCTAATTGTTACTTGATTCGATCGATTTTCAGCACGACCACACAACAAAGCAGTCAGAACAGTTCGCTGAGTCCACAACATGACTCGACTTGGTTGGATGGCCTTAACAGTCCTCTTATTCAGGACGAGGGTGACAGTAAAATGTTAAAACTACGATTCGACGTGTCACAGTACACGCCGGAAGAGATCGTCGTCAAGACCGTGGACAACAAACTTTTGGTGAGTTTATAAAGTTTCTTTTTTTCTTTCTCCCCCCCCCCCCCTTAATGTGGAAGAACAAATTCCAAGATGATCGGCATGAAAAGTTATAGTAGTGACGAGATGAAATTATTATGGCTGACTCATCGTGCATATTTCGTACGTCACGATGTTTTGCGCAACTTGGCAAGATGCAAATCTGGTTCACGATTTTATGCAATCGGCGCCGTCGTATACGTCTATCAAAAAGTTTTCAACAACAGTTCTCGTAGATTGCATGTTGAAGCGCCGAGACGATATCGTCTAATTCCAACTTCAAAATTCCTTCGTGTTTTAATTTAATAAAAGAAAAATATAGATATACTTACGCAAACGTATACGAGATCGGTGTATATATCTTGGAGAGAATAACGGGCAGGAAGTGGCTGGTATTTGGAGGCTCTTTCGAGGTCTTTATGAGCGAACTGGAACGTTCTAATTGATCCGATGACGTCACTTCCCGCTCGGAAGTTAGCTTCTGCATTAGGTGCAGAGGTCATACCCTAGCGAACGATACTTTTTCTTCTTTTCTTTTTTTGTTTGATTACACGGTCATTAGATTCGCAAAGATTCTCTCGTCCGATACGATCGAAACTCTCTCTCCCTCCTTCCCTTCCTCCCTTCTCGTCATATTCGTTTCTCCGAGATGCGCGCGTACTTCGGCTCTCTTCTTCTTTGGCCAACGTTCGCGGGGGCTTGGACAAAAATAACCGCTACCAAAAATATATTTTATGCCAGCCGTCACGGCAGAGAACCAGGATAATATTCGGCCATTACGAATGTTACTCTAGCAAATCAGAAACAATCGGTTTCATTCTCCTTTCTTTCTTTCGTTGGCGTTAACTTTTCACCCTTCTTCTTCTTCGTCCTCTTCTCATCTTATATATTTCTTTTCCTTACGTTTCCTTCTGCTTACGCGCCTTTAAATCCGTCGTCATAAATGATATGTCGAGGAGAGTTAAATAATCGATGTTTCGATCCAACATCTCTTATGCCGCGCGATAAGAAGGAAAATATTTTTTTTTCTTCTTTTATCATTAATCGTAGACGTGTATACCCACGTTCGATAAGATAATGCGTAATTATTCTTACAACAAAATGATCGATAGAAAAAAAAATGATTCAACGAGACAGCAGAGAGAAAGAGAGAGAGAGAGAGAGAGAGAGAGAGAGAGAGAGAGAGAGAGAGAGAGAGAGAGAGAGAGAGAGAGAGAGAGAGAGAGAGAGAGAGAAAGACAGAGACAGAGAGAAGGATTTTCTTGGGGAAGGGGAAAAAATAGAAAAAACGAGAGACTGGTTTGGGAAAAATATGGCGTGGTGCCGTTATGCAAAAGCCGAACGATACAAGGTCGTTGCACCACGTTCGCGAGTCGTCAATGAAAGCCACGTTGGAACGCTTAAATGTTCATCACCCGTCTCTATATCCTTCAAACCGCAAAGAATTTTAATCGAAACGTAGAATCTTCCACCATTTTGTTCTCTCGTTCAAATCATACGCAACGATCGTTTCTTTTTACACTGCTTGCGTCATCCGTCATCGAAGTTAATCAATTCCTTTTGTAAATGCAAACGAGCCCAGCCTCTCTTTCAGCTTTTACCTGCGTCGCACTGGTACATGAGAAAATGGCCGTCAAGAATTGATTTTTGACCGATTTTATTTTTCTTCACAAGGTCTTCTTCTCTCTTCCCATTAAAGCGAAATATTCGTATGCGTGTCTCGAATTTGAAGAAGGGGATGTTGTATCGCACGCTCGAAAAAGCAGGTTGCCTCTATAATCGTGGTCAAGGAGCAATTTATTAAGGCCGAGCGCGATCGAGACGCGAGAACGGTCCTTAAAAGGGCCGATGCTGCTCCAAGGACGATGTTAACTTAAGTCCATTTTTATTTCTATCTTTCATTCAAAAAGAACCATCGCGATGGAAAAATAAGAGAGGCCAGAATTTCGAGGAGAAATGTCGGACGGGGACGATCATGTAGTAGTAGGTATAAACGATCGAATAGAATTATCCAAGAGAGACGGAAATATGCAAAGAGAGACTCGCGATGACTCATCCGATGATCCGTATTTAGTTACTTATGTAATTCCAACGCGTCTAAGACCGACGATTTATGTTACCGATAGCGATAGTCAAGAATAAATTATTTCTTTCTCCGCAAAATGTTATATACTGTGCGCCGTCTCGAGCATATTTATATCTTCCTCGATCGAACTCGTAGATCTTAATTTTTTGTAAATTCGACGCGATGGAATCTGATACCTATAATAAAACGATCTATCGTTTATCGTATTCCGAAAGAAGCTTTTCAGAATAGAAATCCAAAAGCGCAAGGATGATAGAAGAACCTTATGCGCGATACCTCTAGTAGCATCTAGTAAGATGATATGCACAACAAGCGGGAGAAAGGCTTAGATCCCGGAGGAGGTCAAGTTACCGGTCACCTCGTCGCTTCAGGATGCCTTTGCATTTCCTCCCCCCACCCATCCCATCTCTCTCTCTCTCTCTCTCTCTCTCTCTCTCTCTCTCTCTCTCTCTCTCTCTCTCTCTCTCTCTCTCTCTTTCTAGCTCGAGACTTCTAAGATTACCTGCACCGTCGTAGTCTACTCCGTGATACTTAATTTTTCTCCTCCGCCTTTCAATCGACAACGATGCGCACTATTGCGAACGAGAAAAATATCGATGAAGCATCGATTATAATACGCATTTGACTATTCGTCGAGGATCGCTTTTTGCCGGACGAAGCCGAGAATAGATCAAGTTGGGAGAGTAAAATTTAAAAGTAGAACGTATTCGCGCGCGAAGGCAAGGTGAAGGCTGCGTTACTTGGCACCAGGTTGCTGCTTCTCGAGAACTCTAGTCCGAATCGTTGGGAGTCGACCGATGATTCTTTAGCGCCTTTTACATAACGTGGTTTAGAGAGAGAGAGAGAGAGAGAGAGAGAGAGAGAGAGAGAGAGAGAGAGAGAGAGAGAGAGAGAGAGAGAGAGAGAGAGAGAGAGAGAGAGAGAGAGAGAGAGAGAGAGAGAACTCGGCGACGCCCGAGGAGCCAACTTTGACACATTGGTCGAACAAGATCCTTTACTTTGTTCTCTCGACCGTATCCTGCACCTGCATTTTTTTCTATCCTTCCTTTGTGTCAAGACATTAATTTTATCACGCGACACACCTACGATTGTCATTGTCTCTCGATCGTCGTCATCGGACCGTAATAATAATCTCCTCTAATCGAATTCTTTGGATCGACGCGGAGAAAATCATTTCCTTTTTCGTCGTTCTCTCTTCGAGACTCTACGAAATGGTGAATTAGCCAAGACGACTAACGAAACGCGTGTTTTCTAAATGCGTCGATGATGGCGCTTTTTCGATGACGACGATTATCGCGCCCGATGACATAATCACAAATTTGCGTTCTACGCGTCGATTCTACTTATTATAATATTTCCTTAAATATATAAATCTTAAATATAAAAATAATATTTTCTTAAAGATACGACTATTTTTCCAATTTATTCTTTATTCTCGACTATTCTTAGAATAACGATGTCTTTAATATCGAGTCGAAAGATGATCGATTCACGTTGTCTCTAGGCGATCTTTTTTCTTCTATCCAAGTCTGATAACTTTAAGCAAGGGTTTCTAATATTTCGTGACGATAGAGATCGAATAAGTAGGAGAAAGAAAAGAAAGATTTCGAGCGGGCAGGAACCTTTTTCGTATCTATTATCGATTCGGTTCGGCGGTCGGCTTGAGCCGCGTCGACTCGGGCTCCGTCGTGTCATTTTCTATATCTTTCTGCTCTTTACCGTTATTTCTTCTATAAACTGTACAACGCATAATCCTGACTTTATTACTCTTCCATGTAATCCCAATTCCGCTTTCCCGGAGCTCGTAAAACGCGCGATAGTGTCTCCTCGACAGCCGTGTCAATATCTTAACATTTTCACGTCCCTTGCTTGCTTCGCATTCCGTCTTCGTCCTCTAGATATATATATATATGTTGCTGACTGCGATGTATATATATATATATATATATATATATATATATATATATATATACATCGCAGTCAGTCCTTTATTTCACTACATCCATCTCGAGATGTAAGATTTTCCATTTCCAAGATGGAATATAGTCGTCCGCCGCGGAGAAACTTGCTGGCGTGTACTGACCTACACTCCTTTCACGTAAGTAGATCCTACGCGTAGTTGGTCGGCCAGCAAGAATGATTCATTGTCTCGACGCGAACGATAAATAGGTCAACCATTCTTGCGAATCGTCTAGCCTTTCCCTAGAAACTATTTATACCACGCTTAACGACCATTATCGCCCATAAAATAGAGAGAGAGAGAGAGAGAGAGAGAGAGAGAGAGAGAGAGAGAGAGAGAGAGAGAGAGAGAGAGAGAGAGAGAGAGAGAGAGAGAGAGAGAGAGAGAGAGAGAGATGCAAATTGGAAAGCGCAAAAAGAACGAAGAAATGTAGGTCGAAAGTGGTGCAGCAGGCTTGTCGCTCTGCCTGGACGGACTAATAAAGCAAACATAGTATATGCAGCAACCTCTATTATCAATGCCACGCGAGCCGAATACAAAAGCGCTTCGCATCGATTTATGCTGATTCTCCGTTGGATAAAATACATTTTTTAATAAGACAATCATATCTGATTTTAGGTTCACGCCAAGCATGAGGAGAAAACGGAAAGCAAATCCGTATACAGGGAATACAACCGAGAATTTTTGCTGCCGAAAGGAACCAATCCAGAGAGCATCAAGTCATCCTTGAGCAAGGATGGCGTTCTTACCGTCGAGGCCCCTCTACCGGCTATTGGTTCGGGCGAAAAGCTAATTCCCATCGCGCATCAATAAAATTTCTTCGCGTCGTCCCTTTTCTCTCGCCAAGTTTCCTCAAAAAGCTTTCTTTAAAAAGCTTTTTTCCGATAGCGAACAACAGAAAGAAACGTTGCAAAAAGAAACGCCCATCATTCGGTCGAGAGTAATATATACCGAGATCAACTTCCACTAAATATCCGATCAATACTTTTTCAACATTTTTTTTCCTATCAAGGATCGAGAAGAAAATTATTCGATCATACGGATACTAATTCTTTTCTTCCACGATCCGCCATCGTCACGTAGGAAACTTTTTCGAAGAATTTATAAACCTTTTTCTAAAGAGAAAACATTTAAAATGCGCGAAAAGGTATAACGAAAGCTGAAGATATCAAAAAACTATAGAAAATAATATTACTAATAATATACACGCGCACGCGCACATATACATATATGGATGTTTGTAAAAAAAAGAAAAAAAAAATTCTTTCCTTTTTACGCCTATATAGGATTCCTTTCTTTGATACACGATGATATATACACACGATACTTGTAATACTCTGAGAAATGCGTAAATTGCTCCGCAATGTGCAATGCTTTTGACAACGTCTCTCTCTCTCTTTCTCTCTCTCTATTTTCTTTCTTCTTTTTTTTTGTTTTGTTTTTCCCCTATCGCGTACGTAGGCACGTAACACCGCTTTGAAAGCATTGTTATACGTGTTATTTTTCAGTTGTGCGCATCATGGGCTTATACGTAAATCTTGCGGTTTATACGTGCACAAAGATGATCCTTCGTATCAATAACTTATATACTTGTTTTTAGTTTAGATGTACGTTAAAAAGACCGTAACAACGATGCTTGGCGTAATTTAAGGTTTATTATTATGATCATTATTAATTATTATTTATGAGTACGTTAATCGTTGAAGGAATTTTCACAAATATGAATGGAAGAATACGAAAGTTTCGATAAAAATAAAATTGTAAAAAAAGAAAAAAAAAAGAAAACGTACGACGAGAGTAGTAGTAAGTGATATTTTTCTCTTCAACGTCTTTTATTTAACAAAATATTCTGTCGCTTTGTACAGAGAGAGTATTATTTGTATATGCGCATACGAGTAGTAATTGAGTACATTGGTAGTACCATCGCGTACCACCTTTATAAAATCGTTACATCGCGTTTTGCTTTTCTTGTTTTCCTTCCTTCGATTTTTTTTTGTTTTTATTTTTTTTTCTCTTTAAATAACACCTTAAGAAATAGGTTGTAAAAAATAACAATATTAAAAATGCGATGGCAACGCAATCGATGACGTTTAAATGGAACACGAACGTGTTCGATCAAATTTCGTTAAAATCGAATAAGAGTAAGTATTACAATAGAAATTCCGCGTCCTTCCATTTATTTTCTTATAATTATTTCAATGAGTAAGACGCCAACGATCTCACCAATATAAACGTGGACATAATCGGTATTGATTTTTCTTCTTCACCAATTCGTCATTTAGATTAAAACTAAAAGATAATCCTATTTTAATGTGGCTCTCAAACGTGAGATCCTAGCTTTTTGGCATATATTATATATCGTTAAGATATTTTGGAAATGTCTAAGAGACGCAATAAACAGGAAAAAAAAATAAAAGAAATATATATTAGAAGAAAAGGGTAGGATTTCGAATAGATAAAAGAGACGAATATATCTCGGACCCTTTAATATATAATCTTTGTCTTGTTTTCATACGCCCGGTATCTCGGCAGAAAATAATGGTGCATCAGCCGCCGTGAAGGTTGGCGATTTACCCTCTCTAGCGATGCGTAAAGCTTGATGCACCGATACGGCGTCGAGCTCCTTTTGATTAGGCTTCTCATTGTCGAGACAAATATCAACGGCCCTCTTACCAAAGGGCTCCAAGACTTTGACCCTGTAATCGACTATCGTCGAGACGGGATTGCCGGTTAATCTTAAATGTTCTAAACAGGGTAAGTGACCGATATTTTTAACCTCTTCGATCTTTTCGATGCGATTGCAACTAACATCGAGACCTTCCAAGGAGTACAACTTCGAGAAGCTCGCTAGAGACGTTAATTTATTTTGCGACAAATCGATATAAACTATGTAACCGAGCTTAATGTGCAAATCATCGGGCAAGACGGTAAAATTATTCGAGGCCAAATAAATCTGAGACAATCTCGGTAATAACGTAACGTTCGATATCTCCGATAAAAGGTTATTGTTAAGAACTAAAAGTTCGATATGAGGCATCAGTCTTATGGCCTCGTCTATGATCTCTATACGATTGTCACTCAGATCCAAATGATTTACCTTTAGCCAAACATGAGAATCATTGGCGTTGTTTATGTGTTTATGAACCTCCTCGCACATCGCCAGTTCGACGATATTGCGCAATTTCGTATTGGTAACTTTGAGAACTTTAACGGTATCACGAAGATTTCCCATATTATAGATCTTATCGACGGGATATCGATCGATCGTTAATTCCTCAATATTTTTGAAGGTTGACAATTCGATCGACAAGGAGGAGGAATAGATGTTGCTACTTTTGTACGTCTCCGTACTTCCTACGATTGTGAGATTACTAAGATGAGAATTGAAATCCAAAACGTGACTGAAGTCGTATTTTTTGTCGACAACCTCCATGATGGGACATGGCTGTTTCAATCTTTCGCTGATAGCGTACAACTGAAAACGACAGGCATCATTTTTTACTTGTTTATTTTAGTATTTTTCTATATGAGAATTCAACGGAAGCATGAAAGATATCTTCTTACCTGTATCGGATTAAACTTATAACTTTTAGAGTTTTCTAACAAGTTACAGCCTTCGGTGAATAATTCCAGTGCCATACTTTGAAGGAGAAAGAATATATCGTAGACGTGTAGATCCAAGAAGACCGCCAACTCCCTTGGCATGGCTTTCTTCAAATAATTATAAACCGCATTGAGATATATCTCCAAGCTGACCCTGCGTTTTTCTACGAAAGCCTCGCACTTATTGCCGATTAGTTTCTTAGGAGGCAAGATGTCCTTTTCCACGCAATGCTCGGAAACCAGTTTCTCGTGAAGCTCGACAAAGTCGTTGTACCTTTTCAAACGTAATCTTATATTTGAAACGGGGAAGAGGGGGGCAGATCGTCGAGAACGACGGACGATTAATAAAAATTAGGGAGTGAAGGTAATTAGCGAAACGCAATCGGGAAACGAGATATTTACCTGTGCTTGACGGTCCATTTGACGGAAACGACATTAACCTCAATACAGTAATACGTGATACCGTCCAAATTGTCGGTCGATGGTATTTTAATATGAACGTTTTCCTGATTTAAAAGAAGACAGGCCATTATATTCGACGTATCGCCGTCGGACGATCGTTCGTTTTGAAAATGATTACGTCGAATCGGTTATCGGCCGAGAGGTTATCTATCTCGTTCGGGCTCAAACAGGTTTGGCGTCGAACGTCTTAGCATCAAAATGCTTTTTTCACTTTACGTGCCATCCGCCTGGCATCGTACACGATCTTTTATTTCCAATAACGTTGCCTTTTAACGACAACGCTTCTCACCGACTGCACTTTTAATACATCTTTGACAGCTGTTAAATGCCCTACTCTTACTTTTGTCGCTCGACGCGTCATCGTGGCGGCCTCGTTCAAAATCTCTCATCGCGCGCCTATCTTCGCTCAGACGATTAATATACTATGCGAGAAAAACAATCATCGATTTTCGCTAACGTTGACCGACGAGGCAAATATTTCATATGCTTTTTATTACGTACGTTCATTAAGACATCGATTGCTTTAATAAATATCATTATTAAAGAAATGGTATTATTGGCAACGGTAATAAAAAGCGATGGATTTTATGTTAGACTTTGTTCGTTTCGTCGCAAAAGAAAAGATCCATAAATTTACGCTTGAGTACGATATAATAAATTTAATCGATTAAAATACGTTCGTCGACTATCCATCTTCTCGCGATATATCGATGATACATAGATCGACGACACAGATGCGTAACTCGAGAGTATTAGGGAATTGACAATTCCTCCCTTAGGCTCACGCAACTTTTAAACGATTCGATTTATGTTTCTTCTCTGTTTTCGTAAGAAAGGGCATGCTTTTTTACCTTTCTTCTCATATCCGATAACTCATAGGCAAGAATATATTCGAAATCAATTGTCTCGTGAATCGTGTCAGAGTGACAATCGATGCTGCCATCTCGCGCTCACGGAAACAATCATCGTCGTCGTCGACATCGTTGTCGTCGTCGTTATGGCGAAAGAATCGTAATTAGTACTTTGGGAAAATGTCGTAGAGTAATCGGTAAGGCATAGTAAAAGAAGAAAAGATTGTCTCTGTTCCCATTATGAAATATGGGAAGTGAGATCGGTAGCGAGTAAGTAAATACGGTACATCCATATTTTCTCCCGACTGTATATTGGCATCGCGAAACGACTTGGTTAGAAAGTAATTTTCGATCTTGGAACGATATCATTAACGATAAGACGTTGATAATCCTAAAGTAGGTAACTCGTTCGTTCAAACAGACAGACAGAAAGAGAGAGAGAGAGAGAGAGAGAGAGAGAGGCACCAAACGTCCAGAAAGTAAACGACGAGACGAGGTTAGAAAACTTTTGGCATTCTCGAAGTTAACGAAGGAGACGTTCTCGTTCTTTCTAGCGGAGCAAGCGTGCACCCGTCGAACGCGCCCATTCAACCGCGGCCGCACAGCGGCGGTTCTCATTGGCGACAACCTGTTGTCGCATTGGCGTAGCACGATCGATTATAAGGAGATTACAAAAAAAAAGAATGCATCGTCCTATACAATTTTCCATATTTTCCACAAGCTGATCGATTCCACAAGGTTTACAAAAGATTTCGCTCGATTATCGAAAAATCGAGTGGTCATCCGTAATGTATAAGGCGTAGCCAGTACGGAGTCGAACGGACTTTCTCTCTCTCTCTCTCTCTCTCTCTCTCTCTCTCTCTCTCTCTCTCTCTCTCTCTCTCGCTCCGTCCGAGACAATACGACGTGCGTTCGTCGAAGACGCGTTGGAACGCGATAAAGCGGATAAAAATGAAAGAGCGAAGGAGAGAAAGAAGAGGAGAAAAAAATTTTCGTTCGCGTCATCGACGCCACTGCTATTCGTTGCGCGTTGGATGCTGCGTTAAAGAAGCAGCAATGGCGGCATTCGCTTACCTGCCTCTTGGTCGTTCCCTCTCTTCTTGGCTCTTCTCCTTGGTATCCCCCTCCATGGCGTCTTCCTCTCGACTTTCCTCTCTTTGGTCCTTCTCTCTTTCTCTCTCTACGCTGGCTCTATCGTCACACGTTTCTCGGGGCTAACCAACAACGAACCTGTTGCCCGTTCTTTCTCCCTATTCGACGGCAGTGTCGTGTCGACCTTAACGGCCAAGCTATGCCGGGTCCATCGCAGGTGCTAGAAGAAAACTTACTTTTCTCTTCGGCCTGCCGTTGATCCCATCGAAAAGATACTTTCGAGTCGTCTTTCTTCCTTTCTCGTTTCTTTTTATTTTTTCGGTACAAGCGAATTGTATAAATCGCTTTTTACGTACGAGGTTAGGTACTTTTTTTTTTCCCCCTTTTTTCCTCTCTATTTTCGAACGTGTCCCCTCAAATTTCGTTCGATGCGAATTTAATTGCAAAAAGTGTAACGGAAGGAGTAAGAGTACCTGTGGAAGAGAAGAAGGTGCTGTTATATCTCTTTCCTTCTCTATCTTAGTCCTTGGTATCGGTCGTGAGAGAACGATAGAAATAAGGTGAGTCGGCTCGTATACCAGATGCATCCCGCTCGTCTTACGTTCTTTTTTCTTTCTTTCCTCTTTAAGCCTACGCTCGAGTCCATATATCGATAATTTCTTTCTCTCTCTTTCTCTCTCCGATATTCTTTCACATTACAGGACGGAGATTTGTAATCAACGTAGGTAACGGTTGATCGAACATTTTTCGTTCCAATTTATCATTTTATACGATTCTTAGGCCAAGCATATTTTCTCGCGAGTCATTCCTTTCCATTGGTCATTTTTGAAGGAATTCGAATCGGCATAACGGTCGTCGAGCGAGAAATTGTTCGAAAGAAAAGAACGTATTCGCGATTGGGGACGTAAAGAAGACGGCCGCCGTTCTTTGTTACAGACGTAGAAGGGTGATACTCTCTCGGAGCTAATTTCGCTTTTTTTGCAAGGAGATTCCGATTACGCGAGCGAAGCAAGAAAAGGATGAAGGAGAGGAGAGAGAGAGAGAGAGGAAGATGGTGCTGCCGATGCCGTACGAGCATGCAGAAGCTGAGATCTTAGGAAAGGTGAGTGGCCCCGCGCTATCTCCTCCGCGTGGAACGTTGTGTTAGCCTTACGTCGATAGGACGATAACAAGAGTTTCGACAAATATTCCTAAGGAGGAGGAAGAAGCTCGTACTCGAGTAGCTGGCAGAGAATCGACCGATTCCGATCGCAGCGGTTCTCGATCAAAGATATCTCGCGCGTCTGTAGAGATAGTTGCTTTCCTCCGAAGGGAGGATGTTCCGTTTCGCTTTGACGCTTTTGATCACGCTGCATTCCTCTCTCTTCTTCCTCGTTGTCGTTCTCGCGCGTTGAAGCGACAAGTTCAAGAGCGAAATAATAGTAAAGGGTAGGAAATTCGTCCATACAGCGAGAATAATGGCTGAGCTAATATTTATAAAACCATACCTGTTGAATCAAACATTTTTCTTTCGTTCAACGTTTTCCTTATAAAATTTCTCCTCGTAGAGAAAGAACCTCTTTCTTCTTCCATTTTGATCCGGCAAAAGTTCGACGTGTGCGTATAAATGCATAAGATATATATGTCGTCGGAGGAACGTCGAGGAAATATCGCTTGGATAAATTCCTTTCCGTTTAAGCGAGGTTATTTGAGTACGGCAACAACGAGTCTCGAGGCAATGTTAAATCTTTCAATTATTATCGTTTATAGGGAAACGATCTTGTAAGGAATGTATCTATATAGATTTATGAAGGGAGGCCAATTATTTCGCTCTCGTCCATCCTTCCTTTTTCTCTCTTTACCTCTAGTTACCATCCCTCCACCTTACATTATTGTTCCTCCTACGTGGATATTACGAAACGTTTTGGACGGTTTACCGTTTCGGGCGGATATAAACGAGCGGGTAAATCTAAAAGGCAAGGCAAAGCCAAGGCTTTTACCAATCCCAATGCTAATACCAGAACTGAAAGAGAGAAAAGTGAGTTTATTCGGGCTTCTATATTACCCGTTGGTAGCTTTTTATCCATCGAGACGTACGATCGTTATCCTAGGCGTTGTCCGTTTATATCGACTTTGTTCTCTTTATGTCCTCGGGTCAGTGAGCGAGTACTCGAGCACTCTTTCCCCCTTGCGAGATTATTGCGAACTCTACGGACTCTAGAAACGTCGCGAGTCGACAAGGATTCGGTGCTGCTTTCCATTTTGAAATTTATTTGGCAAAAAACTAGGGTTGCCTCGCGTCGCCCGAATGGATGGCAGGTTAAATGGTGAAACGAGTGATGATGCATTGGTAGCAATATTTGGCCGTTCGGATAAAATACGCGAGCACGTCAGATCTTTCTCTTCCTAGCTCCGGTTATCTTCGATATCGCGATATTTATTGATTTACGAGGCTGCGATGTGGTTCGACGATGTAGATCGCTCGAACCGCAGGATCGCATCCGAAATTTCTTCCGATCGAAATTCATAGACCGTCCTCGTCGGTCTAATTATCGACATCGTATAAATACTCTTTCTTACCGATAAAATCGAGATATCGATATTTATTTTGAAGAAGAATGCTTTTACGAAGAAGAAGATCGGACCTTATCGGATCGCACGATAAGTCTTACTTTCATTTTCGCGATAAAAATAATTCAACGCCTTTTAGATAATGTAATCGATGAAGCGTTATTTATCAAGTTTTCGACGACATCGACGACGGATCTATAACGTTTAAAGTCAAATGAGATAAGAGAATCGGCGATCGAACTTGTCGATGAGATCGATGAACGAGGGGGTAGGTCGTGTCGGGAAGGACGGACGAAGGCAAGGTGCATGGGCTTTTCGAGAGAAGCGATCGGGGACAGGGAAGGGCCGACTACTGTCTAGGATTCTCGGGTGAGTGGGAGTCTCGGGAGAAAAGTGGGAGAGAGCAGTCGCGCGTTTCGTGCGGAACTTCCGTGATCAGTTCCGCAGGAACTCTCGCCAAGTTCGCGTCTTCTTTTTGATTCTCTCTTCCTCTCGTATGAGGAAGATATCACGTATCTCCTTTCTTTCTTTTCATTCTCCTGCGGTCTAAATATCTTACAGTAGATTTTATCGTTATATTTTTCAGCCGAAGGAAACGATCGAAGAAAATTCTTGAGAAAGAGAGATGATGATTTGTCGTTGGAAAACTCGGTCGCACCTCGATCTCTCGCGAATGTTTCAACGATTTTCTTGTTCAATTTCGTTCGACCGTAGCCTACGGATAAGACTAGCAGCGAGCCGCGGTTCGTTCGCTCGCTCGTCGATCGGTGAAAGTGAAAAATTCATCCAAGCTACGTATATACACGTGTACGCTAACACCGCTAGTCTTTGTGTTTCGAATTACGCGCTTATGCGTACACTTATCATTTCCCTATAAATTTTAATATTACGTATCATCGATAAATCGTATGTGCCCGCGTCGAATCCTCGCTAGGTCGATCGACTCTTATTTCTTCTGCAACGCTGGATACCATCGAACTTGGGTAAGTTTTTCGATAAGATTTTATAACGGGTAACTAAGTTCAACAAGACATATCTATATCTATATATCTATATATACATATCTATACACATGCACATTGTTTTCTCTCTCGTTATAACAAGTTTATTCGCAAGTAGAAAGAGTCGACGTAAATGTACATTATTGATATCTTTCAAGAGAGTAGAAGAGTATCAAAGGTTTCGGTAGATTTCTTTCGAAACGATAAGCGCTCTTGGGAACGCTGTTTTATGCACGGTGACAGAGGAACCACTCGGCTTTTATCTACGATAATCTCGTCGTCGAGTGGTACTCGCGAGAAAATTAGATGCTTCTCGGTAGTAGGAGCTTTCGTCGTTTTCATCTTCTTCAATGAAATCAATTGACCCCTTCTCTCTTCTCCCTCCCTCGTTCGTTGGAGCTTTTAGAAATTCGTCCGCAGCTAAGTGGTGACCTCCTTTTCATTCTCAAAAAAAGAAAAGAAATAAAATTTCGTTGGAGATTTCTGGTAAAATGTCTGGAAAAACAAGTAGCTTTTGGGTGTACCGGAGAACGAATGGTACAAGGAATGAAAAGGAGATCCAGTTATTTTTAAAGAAAGGAACCAACCACTTACCTCCGTCTTTAATTTATCTTCCTCCTTAAGTTATCCGTAATATAATTCTTTTTTTTTTGTTCTTCCTGTTGCCCTTCTTCATTTTTTCTTCTCCCATTTCATTTTCTTATCGAATTTCGGCGAGATCTCGCTATCTATTCTCTGCGATATAGAGTATCATTCGCGAGTTAATATTTAAATATGGATTGAAATATTTAAGATGAAATATTTAATCCGGCTGATCATGAAGGTTGACTCGACGTACAACCCAACCCGGTCTGGGATAATCGAAGCAAGGAACGATTCCAGTTTTAATCCAGCGCCGCGATAAATTGCAGAGACCTTCGATGCCGTAATCGAATCGTACGCGAGTCGAACCAAGAGAATTTTCTTTGTCCACAAAGTGACATCCCTTACATGAGCGTGCAGCGACTTTATATTATTTTATATTATATAAATTTGTTAACAATCAAGAATTGTTTGTTCTACGTAGCGCGGATAATACGTATCGTAATGCTCTCGACTTGCTGCCCAGTCCGTAAGAATTTCTTGCGGGTTCCCCGACTACTTTACGAGTCCATTACTAATTTATTTTTTAAATCGGAAAAACGTACGCGCGCGTCTCAAAAAAAAAAAAAGAAAAAACGATCGATAACTGGGCGAGAGAGGTCAAGAACGAATGGAAGGGGGGGTCCGATTGTTTCAAACGATCGAGCGTTCGGCAAAGAATTCGAAGAGCTAAACTTTGCGAGGACAATAAAGTTTTGATAATTCGGCTCGAATTGGACTGACCACGGAGGAAGGAAGAATAATTTCCATTATTCTTACCACCTTTTTCGAGATTTTCGTTAGTCTACGCGCGTCCTGATTTTAAATATGCCGTCTCTCGATTTTTTATTTCATGCCTTTTTATTTCATGGCTCGTCCCGTATCTGTGAAAAATTACGCCTACGCCTACGTACGTACCGGAGTGTAAATAAAAGAATAGATCCCCGGAGAAATTGCGAGACAATACTCTTCTTTGTACTTTCTTTGTACACGAATGGTTTCAATCTACTTCGTCCAGCTTCCGAGAGAGAGAGAGAGAGAAAGAAAGGGACCGTTATTTCTAGGTTTACGAACGTACATGCATAGTAGGACGAGTAGCACTCGCGGCGATTTTCTCACATTTTGTCGGCTTTTTATCTCTCTTTCTCCCTTGTGCATCCGTCCGAATTGTCCTATATCCACCTATAACATGTCATACCCCTAGGATTCATTTTATTTCGATCGAGTTAACGGTACGTGAAGCGAAACGAGGTCTAGAGAGGCGCGCCACACCGGTTGCCAGGGATCGAGCTCATTGTCAGAGAAACTTTCGCGCTTTCCATGCCTACGCATGTCTTTGCGTTCTTGCTCGTTACGTAACGATCGATTTCGTTCGAATCGCGTTGGTTTTTTTGTTTCTTTTTTCCTCTCTTACGGACGGAACATCATTTTTATCGTCTCCATAAACGTTCGTCCTTCGAAATATACCATCGAATCGTAGACGCTTACGAGGAAGTAAGTACGTACCGATATGTACCAATAGTTTTTATTTTCAAACGGCAGTAATAATAAAACTTATCGTCCGTCTCCTCCACCTCCTCCTCCATCGTCCTCGTGGTGCAAAGTCGTGTTTAACGATCGATAATACCCTTTATGGAGCACGACTTTAGATAAGGAAGGTTTACAAGTACCGTCGCGTTTCGCTTGTGTCTCTATTCGTGCGATATATTTTTTTAAAGGAGGGTCGAGAGAAAAAGGCAGAGAGAGAGAGAGAGAGAATCGGTATGCGTATTAATATTTTCTGGATTAGTCTGATGATGTTCGCTACGATCGCAGCCTTTTGGAAGACGGGGAACCGTGCGACAGCCGTATCTCTGCCAATCGGTGATACTCATCGCGACGTTTACATCATCCTCCGTCCACGAAAAAAAAAGAAGTTTCACTTCGTGAAAATCAGGCCACGAAAAGCACTGGTCCACGAGATTTATCTAAACTTTTAAGCACTTTCCTCGTCCGTACCAAAAAAGTAATGTAGGATGAGAAAGAGGGAAAAATTCGCAACGTCTCTTTTTTTCTTTCTTCTTCTTCTTTTCCCTCAAGTGCCAAAGATCCAACGGTTGAAACGAATTTGTTCTAAACAATATCTGGATGGTTGGTTACGAAGGTGAAAAGAAAATTGTACCGCCGTGAAAAGGATATTGATACCTGGGATTCTACGAGAAAGACGGATATCGATGGGAAAAAAAGAAATTCGATTGCGCGTTCGACCGCAGCCGCAATTATTCTTCATTTACGAAGAAGAGAAGGAGGAGGAGGAGGAGGAGGAGGAGGAGGAGGAGGAGAAGGAGAAACGTGGTACCTACGTACGTGTCTCGAGAATGACTTTGTAGAACGAGGAAAGGAACATTTTTTTCGTCGAATACAGGAAGAGGAGAGACCAGTCTTCTTTTTCTTTTTACCTTTTTACCCGTGGAATCATCCTAGATTATAATCGTCGATACGAACGTGCATGCGTCGCGTGTATGCCTATACCCGGGAAGGCAACGTCTTACCTTGACCCAGCACTTCCGGCTTTCGCCTCGCACAACTGGCTTTGCGTAAGCTGCTTGCCGCGATGCGTTTTATGTTTCTCTCTCTCTCTCTTTCTCTCTCTTTCTCTCTTGTCAGGTGCACGTAGACAAACAAACGTATCCAATGTGCGTACTCGTTAAAATTATATCACAACGCTCGTACTACCGCATTGGTAAGAGCAGTCTTGCTCGTCGGGGATCAGATCGTGATAAAAGTGAGAAAGCGATATCGCCTAATTAAAACGAGTCGTTGTTGTTAAGTCGAAATAAATCCAACTTTTGTCCACGTTGATTTCGTCGAGAATCGCACGACCTACGAGACGCAAATTTCATCCTTCGCACGGTCGCCAATAACATCGGTCACGCTGCAAACTCGTCGCGCGACGAGCCAGACAGACGTTCTGCTTCGATCCGGTTAGACGTGTTGCGAAACAGGTGCGAATTTCCGTTCGGATATTTATTAATTTCCGGCCTTTGCGATCCACCCTCGTTTCCGCGTAGTAATTAAATCTCTGCCAAATTTATGTCGCGACTCGGAAGGAAACGATTCGTTGGCCTCATTTTTCTTTTTTTTTTTTTCTACGTCAGCCTGACAAGAATGAACGTTCCCCTTTTATCCTCGTATTTATCGCGAAATAATGAATGCGAAAAATTATATTCATCAACAACCGAACCAGCACGTAAGTATCCACGCGCTTTAAAACGTTTCTGCGTAGCGGCTATCCAAGTCACTTTCTTTGCTTCTTTGGCGCAAAGGGACGAATAAACGAATTGGCCTAGTTCGATTACTCTTTGATCGATTGCGGAATGACAATAACGTTAAATTTACTTTATCCGGATTAGCAGACCAATTTTCAATCTGTGGAGAGGGACGTTGGTAGATGGATTTTTCTCTTTGGTAGATGCAACTATAAGTCGCGTCTCATCTTACGTACGTCGATCGTACGATTTCCGCGTGCAATCTTAAGGTTTCTCGCGGAAACCTTGCTACGCCGTACGAAAGAATGGCAATTTCTCTCTCTCTCTCTCTCTTTCTCTCTGTCTAAAACTCTCTTTCGGAGCAAGGTACCTTTTTCCTTTAATTTCCAGACGTTCGCGATATCGTGAAAAGTCGAAAAGAGACGCATCTCGCATGGGAATTCGTTTTTTTTCTTACGGCAACCATTGATCTCTATCACACATATACATATTCGTGTTTATCCGAGAACTTTGCTTTTCCGTGCGAGCGACCGACCGAGAGACGTCGATCTCGAGCACGAATGAAAACGAATTTGAATGGGTCGAATATTTTTACGTTTTGCTAAAGTAGAAAGAAAGATCGGATTTGTTCAACGTTTCGTTTCTATGAAAAAGAACGAGGATTTTTTACTTGCCGACTTGTTTCTTTTCTTTTTCTCTCTCTTCCTCTTTTAAAGCTAGAGGGAGATCGTGTAAAATACGTTTCTCCCTGGAGGGAATCGAGTCGGTAGAAAAATTCCCGCGCGTCTGCTACCGAGATAGTTGGATAGATAGATAGATAGAGAGAGAAAGAAAGAAAGAAAGAGAGAGAGAGAGAGAGACAGAGAGAGAGAGAGAGAGAGAGAGAGAGAGAGAGAGACGAAATAAATTGTCGTCTGGAGACAATTTCGCGTGGCCTGGCCGTAGAGTTTTCCGCTGCGAAACGTTGAGTACTTTCGACCGTACGAACTTTACGAGGACAAGTTTCTTCTTTCACGTACGAATTTAAGTACGCACACGGTCTGAATCGTGTGCTCGAAATTGCTCGTAGAAACGAAAAGCGCTATGTGTACATACGTATAATCCTAGCTCGATGCGATGCACTACTCTGTTTTATGCAAATGCCACGCCGTCCTTTGGCTCGATCCTCCTTTCTTTTCTGTTTTTTTTCTTCCCCTCCCCCCGCCTCGATAAGAAATCTAAATCTGGGGATACTCTTGCGCATAAAATAATGACATTTTGTTAACTAAACACGTTCGATCGTTTTACGTAATTTGGAATTACGTAGTTGAGAAGAAAGGACGAAGGGAAGATTAGAAAAGGGAGGAAATGAAGAGAGTCGTTGACGCAAAGACAGAAAAAAGGATTTTCATCGATCCTTTTTGCCCTTTTTCCCTCGAGTTATCCAAAGGTAAGGTAATCACCCTTCGATCGCATCCTGGGACATTCTTTCGAACGAAAGGGTCGTCTCCAGCGAAAACTCGCTGCTCGCCGGCCGATCTTCTTCTCTTCCTCTCCTTCCTCCTCCGTATTCTCACGGTCCAGTCGACCGACACGTGGCACGAATATTTTTTAAAAAGTCTTCAGGCCATTCCTTATTGAGAATCTTAAACACGTTTTAGACATGTGCGTGACACACTTGGCTCTTGCCTGGCATCTCGACCGCGTCTCGTCGACTAACGTTGGACGACGCGCAACCATCGCTCTCCATCGACATTATTTGCCCTTTGATCTTTCTACATCCTTTTTTTAATAATACGATTCGACGAATACATGGACGATTAATTTTTATTTCTTTTAATCCCATCTTATATTATATCATATTTCATTTTTTATTTTTTGATGAGGATTCGATGGATCACCGACAATTTTTGTCTCCGGGCGACGAAATTTCACACATAACAATGTGCCAACTTTAAGCGTCGCGGATGTTTGATAACGTCTTTGTAATTTTACTTCGCATGTACTACTTGCGAGTCATAGGAAGAAAAGTAAATAAAAAAGTCCAACGTCGTATGAAATAATGCGCGGGTAATTATCCCAACTATATTTGATAAGGTCGAAAAGGAGGAAAAGGAAAGATAGAAGAAGCTTTCGACAAATTGGATCTCGTCATTGGAATCGACCCGGCATCGCGGGGACTCCTGAAATTTTTCTCGCGGAAGTTCTTTGTGTCGCGAACTATGGGAACGAAAACTTGACGCTACGTTGCGCGCAAAAATAAGGATTTTATATCTCCCTGCTGCAACGCATATTATTACGAATATAACAACGAATTCGCTTCGTCGAATATTTTCTTTGGACGATGATCGATGGATAGATGGAAGGAAATAAAAGAAGAAAGGAGAAACGTAAGTTTTCGACCGGACATTTTGGCGTCGCTGCCAAAAGATTCGAGCGAAAAGAGAAAAATACACGTACGCGAATAAGCCTGGTTTCTTCGTCGTCATTCTCTTCTCGTTTGTCATATATAGGAGCTCTCGGCGCAAATGGACACTATTCCTGTGAATTTTGGCCTACACGGCCGACGGAGATTATTCGAACTCCTCGATTATTCGAGGTCTTCGAAGCTCGATCATCATGTGAGTTAGATTAACATCTTCGCGCGTTTTTCTATTATGTTGATGTGCCATAGCCGGGCCATCGCTAGGACGAGCGATGAGGCGTACCTCCACGTGGTTCCCCGTGGGCATATACCGTAAGGTGCATGGTGAAATCATCCTCTCGGTTCGTCCTCCGGGCGCCTGGGATTCTTTCAGGCTCTGCACCGGAAGCATGATTCGCTAGAAAAGTTTAATTGCCTAATACCATCTTGGCGGCCAAAGCCGATATAGGAGAAATCCTAAGAAGCAGCGCACCCCGTAGGGCCACGAAGGCCAGCAGTATCTGTATTATATAGGAAAGAAATTTTGGAAATGGTATTTGCACAGGTAGACGGTTCCAACTGAAGGCAAGCATGACGCTTTCGCTCGGGCTTGGTATTTACGGTTCAAGAGTTTCATCCACAAGAGGGTAGGAAAGAGAGAGAGAGAGAGAGAGAGAGAGAGAGAGAGAGAGAGAGAGAGAGAGAGGAACGACATCGCGCTTGTGAGCTTGCCTCACTGTTTTGTCTAACGATCAAGACGAGCATTTTCTGGCGATTGAAAAATTCCTTGGCAATTTCCCTTTTGGTCAAGGGGAAATTCGAAACTCGCTCGCTTTCGTCCGCTCTCTCGCGGTGGTCGTTGCGTAAGATCCTGTCGGAGGCGACGAGACGTTTCGTAAAGCGTCACGTTTCACGGTAGACTCGTAATTGCATCGTCCGAGATTGTTCATTCATTTTCGCCAACTCCTTTAACGATACTCTTTACCTTCCGTTTAATAACTATTCCAAATTACAAAAAAAAAAAAAAAAAAAAAAGAAAGTAAGTAGCGAAGAACAAGGTCTATCTCAAATGAGGATAAATCGGGAAAATAATGCGGTCGATAAATTTTTCTCAGACGCGTTTATCGATTGAAATAAAAAGGCCGCGACCGCGAAAAAGAATCTACGTGACCATCGACAACTCGGAGTACGGTTAAGAGCGTAAGGGCTCCCGTGTCATCGGAGACATGTTCATGGCGTGAGAGGGGGGAGGAGGGGAAGGACGACACAACGAAAGGAACAGAACGTCGTCGACCTATGGCCGTCTTGCGCGGTACGCGAAGAAACGAGTAGAAAGATGGGAAGAAATAGCGTCGGTGCTGGTGCTGCTGGTGGTGGAGGTGGTGGTGGTGGTGGTGGTGGTGGTGGTGGTGGTGGTGGTGGTGGTGGTGGTGGTGGTGGTGGTGGTGGTGGTGGTAGTGGCGATGGTGTTGGAGGTGGCGGCGGCGGCGGCGGCGGTAGTAGTAGTGGTGGGAATGGATCAGAACCGAAGCGTTACCGTCTCGTCAGTCGGCCCGGAAACGCGGAGAGCTCGTTCTCGATGCGTGAGCGCGCGTGCGTTCCGTCGCGAGGACTTTCTCTACACGTGACTCGTCCTTTTTATTATTTCTTTAGCCGTCGCGAGGTGGGTGTATACCGGTCCACAGCGAATGTGCGAGGAGGGAGTAAAACCAGGAGGGATTATAATTATAGAGAGTGCGTCGAAATGGCAAGTGCGCGTCAATGTCTGAGTTTACATGCGTGTGCGTGCGAGTGAAAACCGACCAAAGTATATTATTTCGTGGATACGAGAATGGTCAGCTTCAAGAGCAACAACGTGACCAGGTAGTCACAATGATATAATACCTTAATAAGTTTTCGACTTTGTACTTGATATTTATTATCGGCTGGGATAATAGATAAAATCGAATCGTATTTGTACGCGATTGGTTCGCGGGCAGAGGTATTCGCGTCGATTTCAAATTTTGTATTAATATAATTATAATATTTTCTTTATTCAAAATATTTCCTCGCATCTTAATATTAAGATGCGTTTATTATCAATTAAGATCCTTCAACGTCGCTCTCTTCCTTCTACTATCCTCGTCACATATCGTCGTCATTCCGAAGCCGTGCGCAGTACCTAGTCGCGTTTCAACCATGCGTTCCAGCATTTCCCGAATGGCGTGCCCCTTCTACTACCATGGCGCGCGCGCGCGCTTGTCCTTTCTCCTCGCATATCATCCTTCTCAACGTATGCATCCTATGCAACGTACGCATCAACGTATGCGCCAGGTGTACGCGTGTATTCGATGATTCATCCCAAGAGAGCCTTTATTCGAGCACATTCCTCTTATTTTATTTTTTTTGCTTTAACGATCATTAAGAGTTTTGCTCTTAATCCTACTTTCTGTCGATCGGGTCGATGCGTACCTAATTAAAAAAAGTTTATCCTTTTTTTTATTTTAAAGTTAGTCTCGCATCGACTCGATCGACCGAAGCTTATTTGTTACGTCGCTCGCGGACCTTTTAATTGTTTCCTCTCTCTCTTTCTCTCTCTCTCTCTCTTAAACCCAGCTGCGTCTTAGTTCGAAAGTTTCTCCGTCCTCTTATCTCCTCGATAAACGATAAGTGAGAATCTCTCGTACACGAAGCATAAAGATTAGTTTTTTTAGCTGCAGATAAGAATAACCGCCTCGAAGGAGCCCCCTGCGACATATCCGGTCTCACAGTCGGTTCCAGTCAATGATTCGATATTCGTTGCGCTTTCGTCTTTCCTACATGATTATATTTTCCTATCTCGGTGTTAAGTACGTCGTTCGTTGTAAAACGTTAGTAAATGAATTTTTTATTCGACTTTTATAACGTAAAAGTTGATCACTCGCTAAGAACGGTTTTGTGTGCGGGTAAACAAAATGGGATGGGATAATCGTCTAACGTCGCGCAACGTTTCTTTCTCTCTCTCTCTCTCTCTCTCTCTCTCTCTCTCTCTCTCTCTCTCTCTCTCTCTCTCTCTCTCTCTCTCTCTCTCTCTCTCTCTCTCTCTCTCTCTCTCTCTCCCTCTCTCTCTCTCTCTGTCTCGTAATCGTAGGCAGGTGCGCTGAAAACTTTCTTTTAAAGCTGCTCTGTACCGTTAGCAAGTACGCTTTCAGGTACAGTTTCTTCCCTCCCTGGGGAAAAACCCGAATCCGTGGAGACACTTTTACGTCCCGACGACGTACTTTTCTCGAAAATTTTCACGAGAGAAAATGCGTCGATATCAAAGATTTCTCCTTTATCCTCCACCGATACGAGCTTGCGTCTATTTGTTTCTTTTCTTTTTTTTTCCGACGGTCGATAAGGAGAAATGCTCCTTTGGCAATGTTGAATTTTCTAAAAGATTTCGTCAATTTTCACTTGAAATTTTCGAAAAGGCAACTTTTTTTTTTAATTTTACTTTGCTCCGTTTATACTCGAAGAAACGCGTTGTACGAGATAGTTTTTCGTTTATGCGAGGGAGCTCGTCGGAACGATAAGTCGGAAATCTTTTTTATCAACTTGTTCGAGGGTCGGTAATAGCAAAGAGCTATAAAATATTTAATAAGCTCAATATTTTGCTCGCCATTTCAGCGAACAACCAACGTCACATTGTCAGGTGACTGGAGTTCGACGACCTTCACCGAATCATTTTCACGATCATCGATCTAGTCATTCGCACAGACATGAAGCGCTGTCGGTCGCTTATCGTTCTCCACCACCCTTACGACCGTCGCTATCGCCTTCGCTACCAACACCATTGGCATCAGCAGCAACAGCAGCATCACTACCATCGCCGCCATCACCACCACCACCACCACCACCACTACCACCACCACCGTCGTCATCATCATCGTCGAGCGTCGATCCTACAGCGGTGCAGCGCGGTTGCGCCTTGCATTCGAGGTAGGTATCACATCAAGGAGGATTTAATTTTTCATCGCTTTAGCCAAACTGCCATAATCCTTGCTTTCACATATTCCTATAGAATTAGATTGTGTCGATAGTAACGAAAGGAGTTGTGAATTGGAAGGAAACGAGATGAAACTCCGTAACGAACGCTGAAAACTAGTTCCGACGGATAAGTCGTTTCCATGGCGTTTTTAGCGAATCTTTCCAGGAGGCCGAGCTAATTGTCAAAACTTTTAAATATGAGTAAGCCGATAAGTGACGTCCATTAGCCGGCATTGTAAAAGTTTGATCGAAGAGTGATATTGATATATACATAGGTTTTTGATAGGCAGCCGGGTGAGGGCCTTGCAATGACCCCCGTCGCTGAAACGTACTTCTCGCCACCCATTTATTCGTTTTCATTTCACCGTTTTTCCTTCCTCGATCGTTCGGTCCATGCGAAAGAGCCAGAGAGGAGGGATGCTTTCATCGCCGACGAGCCTTTCCCTCCTCCTCTCTCCCCCTACATTTCCACCCTTCGACGTTACGCTCGATCGAGTCCGCGACCTACTCCGACGATTTCCGACTCTTCGTCGTCGTCGTCGTCGTTGTCGATCTAACAAAAGGAAATCCTACCTATGGAAGATCCTCTTTAAGGGGCAACTACCTCTACGAACGGAAACATGAAGTGCCGTGTTATGCAATAACCTTCCTATTTTTACCTAAACGAGGCTAGACGCTTTATCCGTCGAGAAATTATCTTAAATTATCGCGGTGTCTTTTTATTTTTTAATTTATTTCCTCGATGGGCCACTCGTCGAGTTGCTCGAGTTCGAAGTTGCTTTTAGCAAATTTCTGATCCTTTTCTCATCTTCTCGTCATCCTTTTATACCAAGTGTAACGAGACTTATTTATCAAACGATGAAACGTTGAGCGACGTTGGAATAATTATCACGGATAGGGAACTGGCATATCTCTTAGCATATTTTACACGCTTCTTGGAATACCGTTCGTAATTACCACCGTAGTTACAAGGAGTTTCTAAAGTTTCTCGTAGCATTGGATCAAGACTGCCATTGAAACTTGACGTTATGAATATACAAATTGTTTGCAACGTATTTCTACGAACGTAGGAAATGGACGGATTCTCTTAAAATCGATCATCAAGAGCGCGCCATGTATCCGTGGAGGGACGTGGGGGAGGGGGGGGGGAAAGAGAAAGAGAGAGAGAGAGAGAGAGAGAGAGAGAGGGAGAGAGAGGAAGAAATGGATGGTCGCGGTGATAACTAGAATCTTCAGAAAAGGAGAATACAGGAAGCAGGGATAATATAATGCTCGTTTAATTCTCTTATCTCGATTCCCTCGGTGAGCCGCATAGTATAGCGGTCGTTTTCTCTTTCCCTCCCTCTCTCTTTCTCTCTCACTGTCACAAAGGGCATCAGCCTGACATCCAAAGAGAAGGTACCCGGGTGGTAAAGGACAATGCGCCGTCGGCAATTTTCAAGGGGGCGCCACGAGGGTTGGAACGTGAAAAGAGTGAGAGAGAGATGGAAGAGGGTTGGGGTCGTGGTAGGAGATCGGAACGGAGGGTGAAAGGCGCATGCCAGTTGTGCCCTCGACGCGTTACGAGCCGGCCAACTCCGGCATTTTCTTTTCTCCCGCACGCCCAAAAGTCTTTGCGAAGATCGTCGTCAGCGTTTTCGTTATCGTCGTCGTCGTATTCGGACGACGTTTAGTACTCTTTTAACGGAGCGTTCGTAACGAAGGATCGGTGAATGAACATTCGCGTATACATTATAAAATTTGTCTTTCGGAGCTCAGACGCCTTCGTACGGCCGTCGACCTTACGAACGATCCTTCAGGACGAAGAAAACTATTTCGCTTACGATCGCGACTACGATTTCGTTTGGTTACTTCTCCATTATAGTTCCATTGTTATCGATCTCGTCGCTGGAATCCGAAAGAAAATCTATCTCCTTCGATGCGGTATTTTTCCTCTAATCGAATAAGATTCTGTCATTTTATATACGTTCCCTGTAAGCTTATTAGTTTCGTCAGTAGTGAGATCAGGTTCTGAATTTTTCATATGCGCCGATAGAGTATCTTTTTTCAGACGATGACGAAGAAATAAGAAATTCGATGAGGAAAGAACGAGAGGAAAGTGGCCTGGCGTTAGCGTATCGAGACGCGGAAAGTTTGCGAATCGATGAACTTGACGTGTCACGCCGAGTGACGCGAGCGTGCGAGAGTATTAGAAAGAAAGAGCAACGAAGCGTTTCGCTCAAAGTTATGTCCGTGAATAGAGCTTGATCTCTTATGGCTATTTCTCCTCCTCCTTTTCCTCCTCCTCCTCCTCCGACGCAAAGTTTTTCAATCGCGTCTTCCCCGAAAAGTCTCGTCCTAGACTTTACTCTAGGGCATTTATACCCTTTCGACCCACCACAATCTTTCTCCAGACTATAATTTCAACCCTTTCCTCCCTCGTATACGCCTTCTTATTTCCCCTCGTCTTCGTCTTTCGTTTCATTCGTCGTATTATGCGAATGCGCGTTAATTGGCATATTCTCGAAAAGTGGAACAGCGCGAGTTTTTGGCCTTTCAGTCCTTTCAGCTGATTCTTTTGAAAGAATTTTAAAATGACAGAATTCGCCTCGATTTCACATTTATTTCAATAAATTTCAATAAATTTCGCACTCGTATAAATTCTTTTGGGAAACGATTTAGATAAATTTTAAATAAAAAAATAATAAAAGAAAGATGAGACGGTAGATTACATAGGAGGCAGGAGGATAAAATAAAACGACGTAAAGTACGTAGGTTAGGGGTGCAACGAGGGAGCGCATGTTATGCAAGGGGATGCAAGGATACATCGTTGACCTTGTCGATCGTTCCTCACTCTTTCGTTCTCGCGGTCTAGGGCGCTCGAAACCCACCATTCGTTTTCACCCTTTTTCTACTATATCTTTTTTATTCCAACGGCGCTTGTCTGTCGTCACAAGTCTGGATCAAAGACAATTCTTTTTCTCCTTCTTTTTCTTAAAGGGGACGATGCGTTAACGTTCTTTTCGTCGTTCGTCTATCTCTCGAAGCTACGACGACGGTTTTCTTTCTGATCGTATTATTATTATTCTTTTTTTTCTTTCTTTCTTAATACGTACGTGCTTGTCTTCGGTCTTTTTACGAGTAACATATTCGTATATCATTTTTGACGTCAAAAGTCGGCTTGAAAGTTTTCATTGACTAATACTGGAAATCGATTTCAATTTTGCATCCCGTACGCCGAGAATACAGTAGGATATAACAATATGTTATCGCTAACGCGATCTACGACCACGCGTACACGTACTTATTCTCGTATAGGTATATCGGCGCTGAAAACCACAGTGAAGGTCTTTGTGAATTAACTTACGAGGGTGGCGTATAATTTTCCGGTGGTCGTTACTAATACTGGGCTTACGCCCGTGTTACGTCGATGTTACGTCGATGTAAAGATTTGCTGCGCGGTCACCTGGAACGAAAATGAATTCCTCCCCCTCCCCCTTCCCACCTACCTAAAAATTACGCGCCACGGTGAACCTTTTTATATATACGCGGAAACTCTTCTTCCGTCCGACGTAAGGCATGCTCGGTTAGACGTAAAATAACGCTATGTCAAATAAAAGAAAAAAAACCGATCGGTCGATTCTTTAATATTAATTTAATAGAATGCGCAAAGCCGATCCTTCGTTAAATATCTCGATTTAATAATATTAAATCTTTGAAATATTATATTTAGGCATCGACTGCGCGCGAAAAATGTCGAGTAAAGTTGATACTTTTCGTCAAAATTTTCGAGCAATTAATCGTGGAAATATGCTGGTGTCCGTCAAGAAAAGGCGCGCGAAGTCGGAAGATGCGTCTTAAGCGATTCTGCGAAAATGTAGCAACGACGAAGTTAAAGAGAGAGAGAGAGTGAGAGAGAGAGAGAGAGAGAGAGAGAGAGAGAGAGAAAGAAACAGAGTATAAAGAAGAAACAGTGGATTACCACGAAGTTTTCGTTCCATGCGTTGTGAAAAGCACGATCGGCAACATGTTCACGTGCCTTTGGAATTTCCTCGAATGGTAAGAAATCATTTTGTCGATTAATTTCTGTAATAACAATTAATCATTCAAAATAAGAAGTAGAAAAGAAAATGAAGCGAGATCTTTTTGTTCTCTTTCCTACGTTTCGCGTAGGAGAAATTTCTCGAGAAAACAATCCCTTAGAAAATGTTTTCATTTTGAATAATTCAAAGTTGCCGGGAATACGCGATCTTTATAAATTTTCAATCGATTAAATTATTCATTCAAAGTATCGATTTTATATTTAAAAGTACTATCGAACGAGAGGAACCAATGGTAGGAATCTATGAGACTCTTTTACGCGAACGATTCAACAAACGAGGGAATGGACGAGATTTTTAGTGCATTCCGTGCGCTCGGCTGACAGCAATGCGGACTTGATTTTATCTTATCGGCCAAGAGCTTTCATCCTGAAAGTTTTCGCCGTTATCGATGCATCATCCCGTTATCCTTTCTCCTTTGCAAAGGGAATGGCCTCATGTCTCTGGACCTTTATAAAGTGGAAAACGATGTCACGCGCCACCAGTCATTAACCCTTTTCTTTTAACAAGAAAAATAGATAAAGAATCTTTTGATCGCATATTTCGAACAAGATCGATGACAAACGAGAGAAAATTTATTCCAAGAAAGATTTTCTTTTATTTCTTCTCTGCAAGGTCGCTTGACAAGAGCGAGATGACTAAAGCGTTTCACTCTTATCATCTATTCGAATAACGAAGCTTATTTGGGAAAGCGAATATCGATTCGTATTGCTTTTCATTCTATTGACGCCGTATTTGGACTCTTGGATGCATAACGATCTGACGTAGGTATAGGCGTACTAAAATTGGAAAAGGAAAGGAATAATATTCATATCGTACGTTCGCTTTTCCATCTTCGTTTCTGCGAAGGGTACACGAGAAAGGAGAAAAGGCAGCTTTGGATCTCCCTACCTCCCTCTCTCCCTATCTATTTCCTTTCGCCGATTTAATCTCAGCAACGACTCAGGTACTCTACTCACTCGCGGTCACGAATCCAAGGACCGAGGCAGAAACGGATTTTCTATTAATTTCGGTAAATGCATTAAAGCGCGCATATCTATCTTTCTTCACCATCCACCATATGCAATATTATTTATTATTGCTCTTGTAGAAGCAAATTCCAAACCATTCCGTGATATACAATTGCATATCTCTCGTGGAAAAGTAAATCATTCGGAAGACGCTGCTTGATAATAGTCTCTTTGATAATAGCTCCTCGTTCCCATCCATCGGAGTTTGGACTCGCATCTACATATAGTATTGATTTTAGCATCAAGGACCTGTCCTGCTGCCGGCATAAAGGACTATTTCTAGTATATTACGTGTATGCATACGTGCAGAAACAGTCACTTTTACTCGGACTACATGGACTGCGCATACATGTAATAGGTACATAGGCGAGCAATGGTTTACCCATGTAAATCCTTGGAAGACTCGTTAGCACTTTGAGTACGGTCTCCATTAAGATTTCGCTATATATCCTGATTTCATCAAAGAAATAAAACTAAAGAGGGAAGGATCAAGGAAGTGAAATTGAAAGAAAATTTAAAGAAATTTAAGAGAGGCCGATCCGACGAAGATAAAAGCAGATGAATAAGAACCGATTTTTACCAAAGAATGATTCTTAAACCTTACGAAAGATTCTCTTTGCGGTTGATCGCGACAAAAATATGGTATTGGTATTCGGGAGCTAAGAAGAAAGAGAAGCGCTCGTCGTTAGGTGTTAGAAGGAAAGGAAGGCATTATCGATTAAGACGTATCATATCGCCGTCTGGAAATAAGGTCTTCCTTCTCCTAAGGCGTCCTCGTATGGTTGTCGCGAATCGAAAGAATCGTCGAGATGGCGAAAGTTCTTTCGTCCTTTTCTCTTTGTTTTCTCTTTGTTTTCTCTTTTTTACCTCTTTTTTATCAAACGCGAGGTTAGACGACGAGAATAAAAGTTTGTACAATCGATGGATCTAAATAATCCTGCCGAATTTCTCTTTGAAATAAAAGGAAATATTTCTAGACGCATTCGTCTCTTCTCTCGACTCTTTCCTTTACTTCACTTCGATTTTACTTCGCTTCTTCTTTCTCTTTTCTATACCCGTGTTTTGTCTTTATCCATCTTTGTATACTTTCTATATCTTGCTAGTCTAGCTGGAGTTATGGATATTTCCGATAAACGCCGCGAAAAAAGGAACGTCATATATATTATAAAAGGCGGCACGATCGTAGGTGGGAGCACGCGACTTTGAAAAATGTTTCATCGACTTCGTCGTCGAAGAGGCCAACGTTGCTTCGCGAGAGAGCGATGACTATCTCTCTTTCTCGCGTTATTATTTCCTCCCTGTGAGAAGAATTGCAATGTTTCTTTTGAACAATAATTCCGTCGAGAGAAGTATTATTTAATTGCTAATTTTTATTATTCCAGGCTGTACGAAACAGCCGTCTTTTGATATATCGAACTGGTTATTATTCCCGGCTGGAGCATATATATATATGTATATATATATATACACACATATATCGGAATTGACGCAATTACATTTCCGAATGATTCAGGATGAAACGATGTGACGGGAAGTTGACCGATTGAGATAGAGATTAATTCTTGTCGCTGCGGACGATCCTGTTCATTATTTTTCGCCCGAGGCCGAAACGAGAAGAGCCAGATGCAACCTAATCTATTTTTTAATGACAAAGTCGTATTATTGTTGAAAAGTAATCATTAACGCACAAACTTTGAAGATTTCCTTGATTACCAAAACCACATATTCTTCCTTGGATTTCGTTAAGATTTCTGTTAACGCGAGCTAGCTTCACCGTCGCAGTGATTTGCGCTTGCAAGTATACGTATTCTAAAGGGCCAAATCATGGTTGCACCGTGACGCGTCGCGTCGCGTCGTACCGACCTAATTTCTATTGCTCCGCTAGATTGCCGAAGTATCGTCAGAGACGTTTTTGTTTTTATATATTCTTTCTATTTTCGATTATATTAGAGTTAGAGTCCTGCCTTGACCAAAATTCCAAAATCAATTTGATCAGGATTCTCGATCGAATGAGTATATAAAACGGTTCTCTTCTTACTCAGATAAAACGCTTCTCTTCTTACTCAGATAAAACGCTCTTATTTCTCTTGATCCTTCATCTAAAAACGACTACAATTTCGGAAAAGAGTTTATACGAGTATTTACAATTTTGTTCGTTCGACTTAGGTACAACAGAAAAAAATGATCACTCAGAAAATAAGCAAAGGCATGAAAGTAAAGTGGATTTCGTGTTAGCCTGTACATTACGCTTTTATTTTTCTCAATTCCCCTTAGGACTGGAATTTCTCTAGGAGGAGCAACTTTACAACTAGCCGCCGCGTCGGATTACGTTAGAACCGGTAATACTGTAGAAAGGATTATTTAATGCGCTTAATTAAATTTATTCCCAACGCTTAATAAGAATGTTATTACACTCCGGTCCGTTATTCTTCTCTCAGGCCTTTAATAAGACGCTTTAACAATTATAACTTTTTTCCCTTTTTTTATATGCTTCGAGCTAATCAAATTCGAGCTAATCGATTTTTCTTCTTCGTTCTTTCATTTCTTTCCTTGCCAAATATATTTTTCTATATTTTTCTATTAAATAGTACGATTTTCATACTTGGATGTATACTTTCTATTCTCGAGACTCTGTAGAACGAGCCTCGAACTCGAACGAGTTTCGAAGGGTCTGCTAGCTTTTTTCAATAGCATCGGTGTAAAAAAAAAAAAAAAAAAAGAAAAAAAACTAAATCACGTTCACACAGCGCTTCTATTGTTGTAAAATAAGGTCGAAGCTGATGTGCACTTTAAGGTAAAAAAGGAAAGAAAGGGAAAAAAAAGAAAAGAGGAAAGGAACTACCATCCCTATCATTCTCGAGATAGCGAGTGAAAAATCTACTTGAGCGGACGCGACCAGCAAACTCGCTAAATTCGATTCTTTCTTCTTTTTCGCTCATCAAGTAACGTCCATTATTTATTCCTTTCAATGATTTCTCATTTAAAATGGGCGAGAGTCCATTTTGATTCTGCCGACTCGGGATCGTTCGATCGAGCGTCAACTTTTTTCTAGGAGCGACTTTAGAACGCGCGTAATAAAATATATCTGCCAGGTAACAATGGTTCAGTATGTTTAATGATGATCGCACATATCTATGTATTTCTCTACGACAACGATCGAACTTGCTCTTCTGTAAACGCAAGATTATACGCAATATTCGTGTAATATTCTTCATCCTTTTGTAATCACCAAAAATATATTTATCAACTCTATCTTTATTTCTTTTGTTTCAGGCTCGAACACCCGGTGACCACGTCCAACCCCGGGATGGACGGCAAGAAGGTAGAAAAATAGTTTTACATCAAAAGTAAAAGAAAGAGAAAAAGAAAGTACATATATATAATATATAGCGCGCTTCGTAGCGAAACTTAACGCTGAAACAACCGGAGCATACCTAGTTTTACCGCGTCCGCCGATGCGACGAATATTTTAACAAAACATACTATTTTTTACTTTCTCAATAAGAAAAGAATATTCAGACACACCACGATAAATCACGCATTCGAGGCTAATTCATAGAAAATAAATTTGCTTATACTGATCACTTTTTTGTCACGACAAAGTAAACGTATATCTCGATGCATCAGTACTTTTCTCTTCAAATATTTTGTTAGACAAGACGCGCGCTCCGTCGTTTCTTTTTTCTTCTTTTTTCTGTTGTTTCAGCGTTGAGAAGAAAATGTTAAAATCAATAGGGTAAACACCGTGATGCGGTGTTCCGTAAATTGACGAACGTATGCGATCTTAAAAGGGCTTTGAATTAGGACGAATCCATATGTTGCCCGGAGGAGGACACGCCGTGTTCGTTGGTCGGATCAATCGCGTGTACCATTGATCGCGTATTTACCTATAGGTTAAATACGGGAGGGGATAATAGGGATGCTATGTAAAGCAAAGAAGCAGCATAAAGCAATGACCCTGCAATAGGACCATTTGATTACGACACGCCACCGCGCATATGGTTGCTTTCAAATACCATTGAAAGGCTCCAGCACGACGACGCGGCGGTTGTGCGTTCATCCAAAGTCTGTACGGTTTGTTGCACGTCCTAACCACGTAACAGGGAGGAAACTCACCATTAAATCCGGTTCCGCATCGATCGAGTTTAATCCATAAGATAGAGAGAGATAGAGAGAGAGAGAGGGAGAGAGAGAGAGACAGACAGACAGTGAATTTTAATCACAAAAATAGTAGTGGATCGATTGTTTTATCGCCAACGATTATGAACGTCTTTTTTCGTTATTGTTGCTACTTTTTCTTTTTCTTAACCGCCTTCTCTCCTCCCTGAACTTCGTCCCTTAGATCGTCCAAGCGACAACGGCAGTCGTAGCGGTGGGCCAGGTGCGCAACAAGAACAACGATGCCACGGGATTAGCGGCTTCCGTTTCCGGAATCCGTCGACGAAGCGGACCCCAAGGATTGCGATCGCCCGCTGCGAAAAGACCTCTATCAGCCCCGGTTGCCTTGCAGGGCTGGTTACACAAGCAAGGCTCCGAAGGACTCATGCTTTGGAAGAAACGCTGGTTCGTCTTATCGGAATATTGTCTCTTCTATTACAAAGGTCAGTTGCACTGCCAAGTTAAATACGTTTAAATACGACCACGTAGTCATATGTCTCACGTCCTAATGACAGAGTAATTATAAAAGGCAAAATGGTATTTTTATACGCGTTATTTATCTCAAACTACTTCACATCATTTCGTTTTCTTTATTTACCGATCATGAGATATCCCTCAAGGGTTCCTTTGATGGAAACTTGAGTTTCTGCTCGGTAAGATTCGGCAATCAGAGATATGTCTACGGGGACGGATTACGAGGCGATCAATGCACAGACACTGTTTGCATCTATTAACTTTAGTTATATCAGATTCGTCGAGTATTACTCTTAATTAGCGGCGTTTACGGCCCTCTCGAAGTCAAAGTTTAACCGATAGAGAAGAGTACTATATTCCTCTGTACCAACGTAAGAATTAATTTCGTCATGTAATCGACTTCGTTTCGGTTCCTTTTCAACTTTTTAACGAGTCATCCAAACTCTTACTCAAAGAGCCTTGAGAATTAACAATTTTATCATTTTATCGCAAGACACAACCTAAACATTAAACGTCCCTCGTATTAACCTTATATCGAAACGTTAGCGTTCCCATTAGAAACTTTCCGTTCAGTTTTCTTTTTTCTTCTTTTTTTTTTTTATTTCTTTCTTTTCCCTTGTTTTTTTTTCCAAGCATTTGAGAAGCCTCTCTTCTTTTTGTATGCAGTAAAATCGCCTCGAGGTAGGATAAAATATTTGCCGGTAAAACTCGTACGCCACGAGATGGTTAGCTTGAAAAACCCTGCTACATCTTTTGACGTCCAAGCTTTCGGATTTTAATTTCCAACTTCTCTTTTTTTCTCTTTTCCTCCACCACCGCCGGACCCCTTCCCCAGAAAGAAGAAAAAGTCTTTTTCGCGTTACTACGTAGTTTCCCCTCTGGTCGGCTTATCTCGAAACACAAAATCCTTCACCGTAGACGTTTTCTATTCGTATCTATTCGTATTACGTGCCACATATCGATGGTAGACATTGAAATGTGGTAACATTCTTTATCCCTCTTTTTATTTTTTTCATCTTCTTTTCTGGAGCATTTCTTTCTCATTTTTGGAGATCTTTTTTTTGCCATTTTCCACGTTGGCTCGAACGGTCGGAGCGAACGGTAAGTCGAATCTAGGAGAAAGAGCACGTCGTTTAATAATGCACGTCCCAAAGAGAGCCTCCACTTTTCCCCTTCCATGTCGTGTCCGCGAGTTCTATTCTTCCGGCGATCGATATTTTTATACGAGCCTCACCGTAGGTCCAGAGGAAGAAAAACTCCTGGGTTCGATACTCCTACCTTCGTATAGGGTTACCCTTTGCAGACCCGAAGACAAGGTCAACAGGAAGTTCGCCTTCAAGGCTGAGCACGCGAACATGAGGACTTACCACTTTGCCGCGGAGAGCCGTGAAAGCATGAATCAATGGGTAAACGCGCTCACTCTGGCGACCCTTCTGCAGGATCCCAGTCCGTAAGTATATCTATTCTATTTGAATAATCGATCAAGCTGGAAAAAGTAAAAAGCTGGAAAAAATATAAAATCTGCGTCGTCTCGCGAATCGATCAAATTTATTATCGGACACATCGTCGATCGCGAATACATCAAAATACTTGTGTCGCATGCATGATAAAATTGTTTTCTTTTCATCTCGAACGAGAGGTGTAGGTGTCGTTCGGCTTACTTCAACGAATCGATGACGTACATCCTACAAGAGTACACATTCCAATCGTTCATAATATACGTTTGCAAGTAATTACAATTTGACCGTCTGACCGTCTTGCGCTCGTTGGTCAAAGTTTTGCTTCGCAAAATTGTCGATTTTTAATTCGACCTAATGGTTCTACATAGAAAATAACCGAATCGTCTCAATCGGTTTAATTCGGCCTAGTTAAAACTCTATTTCGATGAAACGAAACTTACGTAATAAATTTTGTAAAGGACGAAGAGAAAAATCCAACAAGTCCTTATACGTAGGATTTTTCATCCGTATTTTCTACTTATGATAAGAAATATAATTAGACGTTTATTATGTTTTAGCGGAAGGGGCGAAGCTGCCGTGGTCATAGAGATAGGAGGACAACCGGATGGTGAACGAAGCGCTAGACCAAGCGTTTCTTCGATCTCCTCTGTATTGAATCAAAGTGCCGACGACAGCGACTCCGGCTTTCACGGTTTTCTATCCCGAGACGATCCCAGTCACGCGTCCAACAACAATTCCAGCCCTAACAGCGTCAACACTGCCTCCTTCCCGAATCTTAGTGGGAGTAACGGTAACGGAAATGCCAACAACAACAATCTTAAAGACGTTCAGCATATACCCAATGGTTGGCCACAACAGTCTTCTCAATACGGTCAATCAGGCTCGTCGCAACATCAACACTCGCAGTACTGTTTCTCCGAACATTCTGTTTCTCAACAAGGTCACTCTCATCAGCATCAAGCAATGTTGCATCAGCCACATCAGAATGTCCCTCAGGTTTATCAGCACAAGCAGCAACAGCACCAGCAGCAGCAGCAACAGCAACAACAACAACAACAACAACAACAACAACAACAACAACAACAACAACAACAGCAGCAGCAGCAGCAGCAGCAACAACAACAACAACAACAGCCACATGTTAGTCAGATTAATGTGCAAGCTGCCCAATCTACGCCTCGAAAATTTGGTCAGCCTATATACGCGAACGCACCGCCAAAACCCAGGAGACTAACCGACGGATCCAATGAGTATTCCACTCCTTCTCCTGAGCCAGGTTATCGAAGATCTCCTGTCTCGCCAGACGTTACCCTAACCAGCAAAAGTTCCATGTCCGATTACGATAGGAACAGCATCATTTATGCCACCGGAATGAGTCAGCCGGCGCAGCAAAGTTTAAGGACGGACAAGTCTGGCTTGAATTATGGTTATTGTCAAGTGCAATCAACCGAAAGACGTACTCCTGACACTTACGGACGAAGTGCGAAGCCTAGACCCAACAGAGGAAACGGCGACTACGAAGAGGTGTACGGTATACCTCAGCTTTATCAGCGACCAGCTGGACCTGTTGTTGGATATACCAAGGGAAATGCACCAGCTCCCATACCTATTCCCACTTACGCGCAACATCAGCAGATGCATCAACAACAACCACAAATTCATTCGCCAATAACGCCTCCCAATGGTACTGGAATTCTACTTCTTTCGGTTATATTTTAAAACTTTAATGGGCCTTCTCTTTCGATCTATCTCATTTATATTTCATTTTATGCCGCATTTAGTTTTACCCATTTTCTCCTCAGTTCCCATAATAAGACAGCCAATGGCCCATCAACTACCACCACCGCGACCTCACAGTGCCGATTTTCTCGAGTACGAAGCAGCAAGACGACCTCAGCAACAAAATCTTGCGCAAAACGAAAGTTCTTTGAGCCAACAGAAACGCCCCCAAAGGCCTAAGTCGAGTCTAGATATAATGAACCCATCGGATGCGACTAACGATGGTTATTATTATTCCGAGGAAAGGTTGGTATAATTAATGAGATAAGAAATCTTTTTGTAAGCTTTTATTATAAAACATCGTACAAGAGACATTTTGCGCATCTGTTTTAAACAGATACGCTGCACAAATGCGGCAATCAGCGGTGTATCTCCATCAAACGCCTCAGCATCATCAACAACAAAGAAACCAATCGCTGTCGCGGGCCACCGTACCATCAAAGATACCGACGGTCCATGATAGAAACGGTGATATTAGAATGGCTACTTTGCCCGATTCTTCTTGTTCCACTTTGAGACGTTTGCAACGAGAGCATACCCATCCACATCAACATAATATATCTGGTCAAACGTTGCAAAGACATAATGAGTGAGTCACGCTATTAGCAAGTAGTTATTACCCATTATGTAATATACGGTATTGCACGAGAACGAGCTAATAGAAATATTTAATTTTTCTATTTAGAAATGTATCTTCATTAGATATTCAATGCTATTGTTGATGTGCGTCCGTGTGCGCACACTCTTGTTTCTATCCAGATTGTCCAACCCAGACGCAAAGATGAGAAGATCTTTACGTGAAAAGATCTACGAATCAAGTGCTCGCAATACATTGACACGCGAGTACGAATCGTCGATGAGTTGGAACAGATCTTCCTCTCATTCTAATCATGGAATTAATACGGCACAGTCGTGTCAGTCCGCTCACAGCGGAGCCAAACGATGGGTCGAACAGCAACAGCAACAGCAACAGCAACAGCAACAGCAACAGCAACAACAACACCAACAACAGCAGCAGCAGCAGCAACAATTTTATAGATCTGCATCGGCACGTTTGCCAAGGTCCCGACATCCTGGCGCTTTGGATCAAGACGAGGATGATTACGGTGGACGGTCTTCCGCGGAACAAGATACTCGCGATGGCGAACGGAAAATTCAACAGGTTTGCCTAATTGATTTAACAGATAGTAATATATGCATTTTCAACGCCGATAAAATTTGGAAAGCTTGACGCAACGATCATTGCAGCGAGAAGAGTCAATGAAGCGTTTGCTGGAGTGGAAACAACGCATGTTACAATCTCCCCTAACGCGAAAACCATCCGGATCGTTGAATCGGAGCAGAGCACAGAACGAGCTGTCGAATTATTATAAACAGCAAGCTCTTCTGGACCTGGCAGCTCACGAAGCTTCGGTAACAGAAGCTCGTCATTCGCGAAGAAAGGAGGAAAGCCACAGGTCACACGTTAGAAGCAAAAGTTCCGATGGTCGAAGAACCGTCACTTCCGTGTCACGATACAACAGTTACTCGAGCGACGACGAAGGTAGGGACAATTCCCAAGAATTCATTATTTAATTGTGGCCTCGTCATTGTCAACGTATCGAGGGACATGATCGTTCCCTTTCAACCAATACGAATGCGAATCATTTTCAATAGTACTCGCTTACAAATCCCTCGAGTACGTTGCAATTGCGAGGTTTCTTTAATCCTTGGTAGAATAGATTGTATCGCGCTGAGATTATTTGCAGATTCTAACACCTAATATTTAATCGCTTTAACACACAATTTACAATTTACTCGTAAACGAGACACAAACGGTCGAGTGCTAAATTAGATACATATATGTCTCTAATTTATTTTATACATGTAGCGCATTTTACGGCGCTCCACATAGATCCACGAGCTTGGTTTGAACAAATCCTCGTGTTGACTAATACATATTCATGTAATTATTTTGTGAAGAAAAAATGTTTTGGATGTGCGCGTGCTATAGAAAAACATTATACCTCCGACAATTGGGTTATCCCAATTTTGTGGAGTTAAAAAAATCTCCCTACTACCTTAGTTACGCATCTTGTTCTCACTTCTCTATCGATGGTAATGCGTATCTCTGTAAAGGCACAAAGCGAGGCACAAACTAGAAACAAAAACATAACCTTCCGGTCCGTGGGGCTCCTTCTCTTTGCTAAGTCAATCCTCATTGGTGAATGGTAAATGAATGGTGATTGGTAAATGGCCTGAATGATTAACAAATTACTACTATAATCACTTCTAGGTCGTTTAAACTTGATCTCTCTCTCTCTCTCTCTCTCTCTCTCTCTCTCTCTCTCTCTCTCTCTCTCTTTGTCTATCTACCCACCTAGCTATCTTGATGCCTTCTAACACTTAATCGGATCTTGATCCAACATATTATATATGGGATCGGCATGGCATGCGAGAGGATTGACTAACAACATTAATGCGTTCGCTGATTCGTGATTCTCGCATCGAAAGTGTCCGCTACCGCAAGTTTAACAGGCATTTTTCGAATCAATTGTCAAACTCATTGTATTGTGCGTATATCTGATCATTGGCAATCATCAGTTCGGCAATTAAGTTTAGCCGCTAATTTTCAACTTCCTCTAATAATAGTAATAATAGTAATAATACTTATCGTTTGATCCAATGAAATGATATCTCAAGACAATTGTTCAGAAGGAAATAGCTTCGTTAACCCTGCTTTCAAGTTGAAAGGGTGTAGTTTGAAAGGGTGGGTGTCTAACCTGAAAAGGGAGTTGTTCATTTTATCATGTATTATAACTCGCAAGTAACGGACATGCGTTCGTGTGTTTCTTTGTAACGGACAATTCAGAGATGGGAGACGTTCGAAGAAAACGAACGCGCAGGCCCTCGCATGCAGGAAGGAGCCCCCGACATGCCGGTGACGATCGTTCGTCCACGTCGACTACCCAAGAGAACGGAAGGGCAGCGATACAAGGAAGCGTACGTACGAACGTTCCAGCGTTATCATCGGCGCAGTTAGGACAGACGAATATTCGATCGAGGAACGAGAGTAAAATACATTTCAACGGCAAGACCTCCTTGGCAAGTCCATCAAGTATACCGCCTGACGCCGGTTATGAGGAAATAAGTTTCCCACCGATGTCAAGGGAGACCCGTACGGATGCGTACCTCGTCACGTCCGAAAATGTCCGATCTAATAAAATAGCGGAACGACGTCTCGAATGTGGACATTTCAATGAGGCTCAGCGCAAGCACCAGACGACGTTGTTGAAAAAATCAACGGGTATATTAAAGTCTTCTAGCCTGTACGAGATCGACGAACGATCGACAACAATCAACATTGCAATTGGCAACGTTGAAATGTATAGTAATACGAACGATTATGTCCCCGCGGACGCGTGGCCTTCCGTTCATAAGTGCGTTCAATGGGATTCCAATGAGGATAAGGATAAGGAGGAATGGGATTCCAATATAGATGAAAGCAAACTCATAAAGGAATTTTCTTATCAGTATATAAAGCCAAAACAGGCCGAGCGGGCCGAGGAGGCTTGCGGGAAAGTGGTGGAGGATCGTTCGTTAAATACGATCGAATCTACGAATCTCGTACAGTCGAGAATAAGATCATTCGAATCGAACGCTGAAAATGGTAGTCCCGTTAAGGAGATGTTTACCATGCAGGAAGCATTGAAAGCTTCGCCAGTCGAGACGTCCATCGAGGCACATGTTTCGAGATTGGACTCGTCGAGAAAGACATCTTCGATTATTCGCAGCTTTGCTTTGGGCGAGAATACGAAAGGAGGAAATGATTCTGGCGTCTCGCAATTGAAGAAGGACGGACATGCAAAGCAAGCGTCTACCGACAGCAACAAGTCGGTAAAGGATCTCTTGGCGGATTTCGAACGAAAGTCTCAACGGGCCCGTAAATTGGAGGAATGCGAAGAAGTTAAGCATCGAGGAGTTTTCAGCGACACGGAAACCCTTCTTTACGAAACCGGTAGCGACTTTGACCAGCGAGATAAGAGCGAGGAACGCGAGGAACAACAACAACAACAACAACAACGGACCGACGAAATGTTGCTCCCAGATCAATCGAACGAGGTGGAAACGTATTTGAGCACGTTGAAAATAAAAAAATCTCTATCTCAGACGAGACATAGAAGTAACAAATCCTCTGTTGGCGATTTTGAACAAAGAACAGTAGTCGAGGAGTCGTCGTCTTCATCATCACCGTCGTCGTCGTCGTCGTCGCCGTCGTCATCGTCGTCGCCGTCGTCGTCGTCGTCATCGTCGACCCACTGTCGAATCGTCGATGGTAATTCGTGTCGCACCAAGAAAATACGAGAATCTGCTACGACGACGAATACGGAATATCCGTTAACGCACGAACAAGTCAGAAGATTTCCCGTCGAAGAAGGCGAAGGCGTCGTTACCGAAGAAGGCGATTTGTCGATACAAGAAGATTTAATACCGGAGGAACATTATCTTCCGATGTCCCCAAGAAAAGCGATTTTAGATCCGAACGAGGATGACAGGCCCAATCCGAAAATGATGGAAAGTCTTTTCGCTAATCTAGAGCACGAGGAGAGCTCGTACGTCGAGATGGCGCAGAACAATGTAAGCCATTCGCTCTTGGCTCCTAGGAAGGAAACGAACGAGGATCGTGATTCCGGCGATTATTCGACCTTGGACGCTTCGCATTACGAATTTGTCTGCGTTTCCGACAGCAAGATCGAACCGGTTTACATGGAAGTTAGCCAGTTATCGGAGAAGGAAGAGAGAGACGACGATGGGATCTCGTCTAAGACGTCGAAGGTACGAAAGAACGATGAGATAGGACGCAACGGGACTAAATCGGATCTCCCGGACATTTTGACGGCTCTGAAATCGGACAGTTCCGACGCCGACGACGAATCTTCCAAGGATTTCGATTCTATAGATGCACCAAGACATCCACGATTTAGTCTTTCGGATACATTCCGACCTGCCTCCTATTACTTGGGTGCCAGTCGTACGATGATAGCCGAATTGCACGATTCCTCCGACAGCGAACTCGTCTCCCCGCCTCCCATTCCTACTTCCCCGCCGCCGTTAGAGGACTTGGATTCTTTGCAAGAGATGCAAGATTCCTTGGAGATTAAAAAGGTGGCATCGCCTCAGGTAGCCGTGGTCACTAAGGAAAACGTAACGAGCGTGGATTCTCCAAAGTCGTGGAACAGATTGGATCACGGGGACAGAGATCAGAGATCGCCGTCGAGGCTATCCGAGATGTCGGGGACCATTAGTTCCACCTTTCGAGACAGTAGGATGTCGTTGGAGAGCGCAAGTGGTAGTGATTCGGTTTCCGTAGTAGAGCTTAGAAGTCCGGAAGAAGAGGCGGCGAGGCACAGACAATTAAAGAGGAGACCAGTCAGCGACGAGGTTTGCGAGGTTTTGGACAGTCTCGACGAATTGGAATCTATTGAGAGTCGTTTCGAAGTGGATGGTGCCAGTATAGATCTCGACCGTTATCTCGAGGAATTGCAAGCGCGCGATGCCTTTAACGTGGATCTCTACGCTAAGGATTTGAGTTACAACAGTATTTATGGTTTCAACGAGAACATGTTGGTGGTCGACAAGCTACAAAAGACTACTTGTCAAGATCTTTCGAGGAAAATTAAGACTTTTAATTTCGGACAGCCCCTTCGTTATGACAACAGAAACAAGAAGAACGGCTCGGCAAGTAGCCTGCCATCTATGAGAGTTTGCGAAGTGCCGCCTGTGCCGTCCCATCAGCACTCGCAATCCTACACGGGGGACGCTCATTACGAGAACATATCGAGTTTCTTGCCATTGAGAAATTCACCTAGCGTACGTTCGGACCCTTCGAGTGAGCAACGATCGCGAGACGACAGAGCTACGCTCACGAACGAGGACGAGCTGACGGAACCATGCCTTAACAAAGACTCAAGTTATTCTTTGAGACCCGTTGATGGACGATCCTCAACACGCTCGATAGCCCCCTTCGATTCTTCCGCTTATTCTTCTTCTTCTTCGGGAAATCATCTCGGGAACGATCTCGTCCAAAATCCAACGCAAACGGCCAATAATTCATCGTACGGCGAGCAAATGACGTCGAATCGTTATCCAAACGTTTTAACCAACCACAAATCACCTACCACCTCTGATCACGTTCAGCATCCATCTCCGATCTCCTCGTCGTCGTCGTCGTCGTCATCATCGTCGGTAAAATCCAATTCATATTTATCGTATTTAAACGGTCCCGAGGAACGCGTTCAAGGCGATCAATCCGGAGCACCGTACTATTACTCGGACCTTCGCGGCACCGTACGAGGTAGCAACAACAACAACGACGAGAGGCCGTCCATCGTTCACGGTGGTCATGTCTCGAGGCTGCCGCAATTGAACAACCAAAGAGACGATGCGTCGGCTATGAACAAGAGGAACGACATCGGTCGTATAGTGAATCCGATAGCTAGGCAAGTTCCCAGACAGATTCAAGTCGAAGGCATCGACGAGGCCAGACGCATTGCCGCAGAGCTCAGGAAAACTACTTGTCGATTGTTGAGCGACAACAAAGCCGACTTGGTGGATAAAAGAAATTTTTACGAAGCCGACACCCTTCGGAGGGTGAAATCTAACGATCCTCTACCAGACGCATCCTTGGCGGAGGTTAGTACGAGAAATCTTTATCCCCACGGATTGCGGGATAAAACAGCCGACGGGGCCCGTTTGAATACAACGGACGACACGCAGCCGGACGAGGCACCTCTCCTCGTTCAAGCTTCGCATCGGAGATCTAGATCGTTAGAGGGACTTTTAGACGACGTTGGCCTTCAAAATCTCGTCGAACAAAGAAACCGGGCGAATCGTTTGTTAGCCTTATCGACTAGGCAAGCCGAGGAACGCGCCCGAAATCTCTCCGCTCCAGTAGATTGGTCGCAAACAACTACTTCGAACGATTTTAACGTCTTGGATCCTTGGGAACAGGATTCCCTTTGGCGTGAAAATCTTCGTAGAGTAAGCTTACGTAACGCCAGATCATTGGACAACTTGGAGAGTCAGGACGCTGGATCAACGGCCATAGGTTCCTCTTCTTGTCCCGATGGCAAAACTCGTCCTAAGATCACGCGAGGTGCTACTTACGTGAACGATAGCATGGCGATGCGAAACGACAACGACTCGTCGTCGACTTTGGATAGGCCGCGAGTCAAGCGAAGGATCAACAACAAGCCCGAAGAGCTTGCCGTTCTCGAGACTCATGAACCGACGAATTCTCCTCTCGTCTCTTACGGTACTTGGGATTCTCCGACCGAGGAAGTATATAGGAAAGAATGTCCCCCTACCGAGGTACAAGACGGTCATTTTTTAGCGGAAGGCAACCTTCCCTCGACGCGAGCGACGAGGGACTTACGTCCGTCGTCGGGGGCTTGCGTGGCGAGTCGTCCCGCGAATTCTGCCACGAGTTCAGCCTCGTTCGAGTTGGATCGCGAAAAGTTGCGACAATGGGACCTACTGTCGAGCGCCTGCTTACTCCAGGAACAGCAGCAAAGTACTACGACGACAGTGGAGTCGGGGCGAGGGTTGCCAATTGTCGATCGGTTTGGACTTGTCATCGATTCGAAGAACATGCCCGTGACTACTACCATTTCGATGACGACGACGACGACGACGACGACGATGACATTGACGACATTGACGACAACGACGACAACATTGACGACAACGACGAGCAGCAATACCGGCGACGTGACTGTCGCGGAGGCATTGAAGATTACGATATCGGAAACAATCGATAATAAGAGCGATCCAACGTCGTTTCTTAAGGAACGTCATCGAAGCTCGACGGCTTCCTTGGAGGCATCAAAAAGACGAGAAGCGATCGAGACGATAGACTCGCGTAACCGGGCTCCAGGTGAGTGGCTCATCAAGACCGGTGCTGCCTTTGGAAAGTGACGCGTGGGGCCTGGGTCGTGTTCCAAATTCGGCTTTCGAACATTTTAATATTGTACTTTCGTCTTTCGTCTCGATTCGATTTTTGGCCTTTTTTTCGTACCTCCCACCTCTCCTCTTGCGTTTTGTGTTTGTCATTAAATGTATGTACCTGCGATCTCGCGATTTTTCTGACTCTTCGCACGAGACCGCGTTCCAACTTGCATACCGAGGCCCCTTCCTGTTGTCTGGGCTAGACGTTTGTAAATCGATGACGTGTTCTTTCGATGATCATAATCTCATAAAGAGACCGGCTTTACGATCGGTGCGAGTTGGAACACGGCCTGTCGAGGCCGGATGACGTCACGTAGACTGTAATTTGCGCTAATCCAATTACCACTTATCTCTCTTTCTTTTCTCTCTCTTTCTCTCTCTCTCTCTCTCTCTCTCTCTCTCTCTCTCTCTCTCTCTCTCTCTCTCTCTCTCTCTCTCTCTCTCTCTCTCTCTCTCTCTCTCTCTCTCTCTCTATTTCTTTTTTCTTCTCTTTTTCGACGCGCCGTATTTCGTCGCAACTAAATATTGCTCGATCTTATTTGCGAATTCTAATTTTTTTAACTAGAAAAGAAGAAAATATTTTTATTGGTTTAGGTATTCGAACGTTCGAACCAAGTCAGTAAGATCTTTCTTTCTCTTTTTTTTCTTTTCACGATAATTTATACCAAATTTTGTAACGGGGAAACAAACCTGCACAAGCAAATCACACTCTTTGCGCGACCACGAACGTTAACGATTTATTTTTAGACGCAGTTACATCAGAACAAATTGAAGTTATGTAGGGCTCTAACTAATTACGCTTCATTTAGCGCGTCGTGACATCTGGACACAATATACATACACATATAGGATAATATTATTTATAGTTTACAAAGCGATGATTTAATTTAAATTTTAAAACGATGTACATAAATTTATTATATAGTACCATATGCGAATGTATACTTAAACGAGACAAGAGAAAAGAAAAGAAAAGAAAATTTGTAGAAATGAAGATGATAATCGAAATACCTGTGTAACACCGGAGACTCCCTTTCTCAGCGAGACACTCGCACTTTAATCCGCGACGTTTCAACGAGAGAAAGAGAGAGAAAGAGAGAGAGAGAGAGAGAGAGAGAGAGAGAGAGAGAGAGAGAGAGAGAGAGAGAGAGAGAAAGCAGAATTGTTCTATTATAGACAGAATCGTAGATAGAATCAAAGTCATGCGCGTAGTGACTTTTATTAAACGCATCGTTGTGCGTGCATCATGCATCCGTTTAACGCGCAAAGAAAGGTAAGTTTTCTTCTTCGCAATAGAAAAGAAGCTTTTCGACGTCGAACGTACGAAAGTCAAATAAAATACTTGGAACGTTTCTATGTCAAATCTTATAGAAATTTTGAGAAAAAATAAGAAAAGAAAGTGGCTATGCAAGAGACACGGTTGACATTATTTTCATTCTCTTTTAAGAGAGAGTTTGAGAGAAAGAGAGAGAGGACCAAAGGATCGGTTTAAAGGGAAGATTCAGCTCTCACGTCTAACAAGTCCGTTCACCCTGCATGCAGTGCGTTGGGTAGAGGAGCCTCGTGCCGCCCAAAAATAAGGTGATTAAATTCGTAGCTGGTTCTACCTCTCGGCCTTCTCTCCTCATACATTCTTTCGCACGCGTCGAAGAAAGAAGGAGCAAGTTCTCTGGCCGCTATCCAAACGGGTTCGAGGATGCTGCTGCTCGAAGGCCGAGAAAGAGGTTATATCCTTTCTGCGTTGGTGGGGGAAACAACGAAATCTCAAAGCATTCGTTGGACTATATTCCAAAGATGGAAGTACAATTAGCAGTATTATTATTACGAAAGGTTAAGTATTTCTTTTGGACTACTTAACCTTTAGAACGAATAGTCGAGGATAATTAGTAAAAAATAAACATCGATCAAGTATCCGTCGGTCTTCTGTTAACTTGGGATAAGAAAATCGAGTATCAAGTTGAGATTTTTCAGTAGAGTTGAGATTCGAGTTGATAGAAACTTTGCGATTCACGCAGGCTCTCCGTCACGCGTCGTTTTTATGATTAAATTTCATGCTTTCCGAGTTATTCCTTTACAGGGTAGTACACCACTACTACAGGGTATTACTCGAGAGCGCTTAGATTTTATAAACACATAAGAACCGTTAGATCGCATTGGAACGATAATTATTTTGTTGGTATCATGTTGCATGTTATGCTACGAGGGAACAAGCAAGGCGGCACTACATTTACGATGACATTTCTCGAGTTACAAATCAACAAGTTACACATTGTTTTTGGCCCTGCTATATATATACTCGACCTTCAAGCTTTTAATATATTTTTACACGAAACACCACGAGGCTTGATCCCTGACTCATTTAAATTCTCAACATTCTCAAAGAATATCTTTGTCTTTGCTTATTTTTTCTTTATGCTTTCTACTCTTTCTATATGGTAATAGTAGCGTTTACTATTAAACCACGTTTGTCGCGCGTAAGCGTTACATAGACGGAGGATGATTTCAAGAGATTCGGTTAAAGGAGAAAAGAGGAAAAAAAGTTGATTTATAAATCGCTAACGAGGGTAGGAAAAGTGCAGCCTGTTTACAACAGAGACACATCGTTAGAACGAGAAGAGAGAGAGAGAGAAAGAGAGAGAAAGAGATGGAGAGGTTTGTCCGAGTGGTCCTTGAATCTTTCTTTCGCTCCCTCCCTCCCTCCCTCCCTCCCCCCTCTCTCTCTTGGCACAACGCGCGCACGCAGACACACACACACACACACACGGATGGAGAGAAGTTACGACGTATGTACGTACGTGCTCGGTCGATTGTGTGTCGTCGTGGCTGCATGTTCCTTTGCCGCTCACTACTTACGTCAGTCAGTGTCAGTCAGCCGGTGGCGCTCCGCGTGTTTGGACGTGCCTCTCGATCCCTCTCGTGGATCATTGGATCTTCTATTTGTGTTAGAAAATTAAAAGCCCCGAGAGAAAAAAGAAAAAGAAAATAAAAAAATAGGAAAGGGAACGTGTATATCGATCGTGTAACATTCGCAAAAGAACAATGGTTGATATAAAAAAAAATGTGGTGATGATGATTTTTTCGAAAATGCACGCTGGCGATTTGTTAAAAAGGCCAACGAGTATCGATCCGTGCTCGTTTTAAAGGTTCTCCGCGAATTCGCGATGCTATTATCGTCCTCGTGGTAGCGAGGGTTCATGGCGAAGTTAGCCGATCGTTAAAAAGAAAAAGGAGAGACCGAAGAGAGGAACTCCCTCGTGTCCTCTCCTAGGCAAATGATTCTCTCTCGTGAGAAGAAAGAAGCGCCGAATGTTGTTTCATGCCTCGTACCGCCTTTGTGCTCTTCTTTCCGCATACTTATTGGCAGGAGGTTCGCGACGACAACGACGACAACGAGAACAAGGAAGAGAAGGAGGAAGGTATCTTGACGAAATATCGGAATAAGTGGTGTGTTGAAAAGAGAAAAGAATAAAAAGATAGAAAATAAAGAAGAGAGATAGAGAGAGAGAGAGAGAGAGAGAGAGAGAGAGAGAGAGAAGATGGGTGGAAAGGTTGGACTGATTTGTGGAAGCTGCTGGTCCGGCAAATACAGTACGTATAACGTGTACCCCAATTTTCTTTCGTTTTTCTCATATTCTTCATTATGTATGAAATAATATCTTATATAAGTAGGCTAGATTATTGATTACCTGGATATCTACGATCATAATTATTCAACTCGACAATCGAGATATGAAAGGTTAATTTGGTTCAGTGTAATATGTACGTTTTTTCTTGCTCTGGGCAGTTAGAAAATGTTACGTTCGTATTGTATCGATTTGTTCATCGAAAAGAAGAAGTCACGGATCGTGATCCCGAAAAAATCGAGAATCGGTTTCGTTCTAAATGACGCGCGTAAATCGATGAAGATCGTCGAACGTTCAAGTGAACATAAAGATTAGATTTGTTCTGAAAACAATTCCGAAGGAAGTAGTGCGCAGTTAACGAAAATTCCATGATACGTCATCGTTATTTCTCTCTCCCTCCTTCCCCCCCCCTCTCTCTCTCTCTCTCTCTCTCTCTCTTATATTTCATCTTGGAAAGACTATGAACAACGAGCAGAAACGCGTCGCGAGTGTGAGCGATTGAAAGGAGGTGGACGAGAAAAAAGAATTGTTTGAAAAAACAACGTAGATTATTTTCTGGTTAAAGCTTATCTGGAATGGGGCCAAAATAATCGTTGCTCGAAGCTACTCTCACGTGGGTAAAGGATTATCGGTCGGGAAGAACGCGTATGAGCATTCGAAATCAGAATTTCTGTAGAATATAGAACGCATTTCGAAAAGGATTTGTCTCGGTTTATGACACTCTTGATTTTGCCGTTGCATCGTGCACTTGCTCGTTTATAAGCTTTCGCTGCTCGAATCCTCGTCGAAAAGTATGTGATTCTTTTCTCGCGTTTGAATCTACACTTTTGCAATACTCTGTTCATTTTAAACCGAAAGCTCGTGATCCCTCGAATAATCTCATCCCGTTTGCCACCGTTCTGTTACACTTTATCGTTTTATCCTCCTTACCTTATTCGAGTGCGAAACGATTCGTTGAATTTCGACGAGCAGAATGAATTGGGTTCGATAAATGAGCATTATTCGTTCTGCACGACGAGTCGTCGCCCTCTTCTCTTCTCTTGGAATAATTCGATCGAATCAGACGGTAAACGGTTGCGGAAGCAACTCTAATTACCTATTGCCTATTCTCCCAGTCTTTTATCGTCGAGCTTCAAAGAACGCAAGAGGGAGAGCGAGAGCGAATGTCGTGCACTCATAGATATACTCGACGTGCAAGCCGGTCGAGCGAACGAGTAGATACCGTTACCCGCAGTACAACACATTCACGATCGTCGTTCGATCGTCGTTCGATCCTCGACGCGCGTAACGTTTCGTTATCCTCTAC